GAACAAACGATATTTTCATTTGAATGAGTGTATGACCTAAAGTAAAGTGCAGCCCTTAACTGGCAAATGGTAAAATGTGTAGTCTAGTCTATGCAGGGCACAAAGCACAACAGATCTAGGCATACATTCAGTCATAATATCACTGTGGTTTAGAAAATGGCCTGGGGTACAGTTTCTAAAATGGGCTATGCTAATGAAGGTTCAATAATCGAATCGCGATATTAGCATAGCCCATCCAGTTAAGAAACTGTACCCATGGCCTGCGCCTGCATGTATTCAATTAATTGATATCAGCTAATTTATAATCAAACGACTTATTTCTGAGCTGTGGTCTCTTATACTTAATCGATCTTAACACAAGGCCAAGGACAAGACTGTTTTTGCCCAGGACACAAAAATAATAGACAAAATGTGAACCTAGTAAAGGCCTAATCCTATTACTCAGTTAAGAGTTCCATTAAAATGCAAACCATAATTGAGTTATTTCGCTGGAAATACTACCTAATTTTTTACGATGTTACACAAAATATTAAAATTATCTAAACTATGACCCCTTTATATTGGTTTAAATGGTTTGAATGGTTTAAATATTTTTTTACTCACCACAGGAAGAATCGCGAATGTCGTCTACACTCGCCAGCTCTAGAAGTCAGATTCACAACTAAATTTCTTGAGAAAAATACACTGAAACAATTCCTGTGTTCAAGTAATCAAGTGAGTAGATGTAGAATTTCGTATTTAAGTAATTATATGTATTTAAAAAATGACTGAAATGTTTTACCACTAGAATTTAAACATCCACCTTAACCAATCTTTAGTGCGAAAATGTTTACTATTCTGCAGTGGCTGTGTTGACTTTGGTATCCATAGGTAATCCATCATAGCTTCTAGTTTCTAGAAAGGCGAAGAAAGAATGTTGCATGCAATGAATTGTACTTCAATAATCTGTAAGTTTAAAATCATAGTTATAATGGGATCACTCTATCTATAATATTTTAATATTGTTGATATGTAAATAAATTCTTAGTTATTATTTTTTGGAAGGAAGTAAATTATTAAAATAACAACTCTGCATACATTATTATTTTATATATTTTACAGTAAATCCCATCATTTCTACGACTCCTGTGTGTGTTTGGTGTGGTTTGGTACTATTATCTGGAGTACTTCTGAGAAAGTTTCCAGAATTCGAGGCTTTCTCTGAAGTTTCTAACAATAACAATATCTTCTAAAGTTTTAAATACCCCCGCCGCAGCAAACCTGTAGACTAAGCGAATTTCAACTTGTCTTATTACATTTTTACTGGAATATTTCCATTTAATAAAACATATTTATTCCTAATTTAAATAACATGAGATTTAACTAGTGCATAGGTTTGCTGCTACGAGGAAGGTAAAACGTGTTTTTTTTACTATCCGTCAATAGCATAGGATCATGGTGGAAGGAAAAAACATAGGTGTGCTATTCCCACGTATTCTGACGTCACTCGGATTGCAAACAAAATATCACCTGATTGTAACTGTCAAATTAGTATGTATTTGTTTTGATTTTATTGTTTTTGTTTTTATTATTATGAAAACAATAACAACCAAATCAAAACAAATACATATACTAATTTGACAGTTACAATCAGGTGATCTTTTGTTTGCAATCCGAGTGACGTCAGAATATGTGGGAATAGCACACCTATGTTTTTTCCTTCCACCATGGCATAGGATGGTATAAATAAATTTGCCAAATTTTATCAACATATATATTTATATAAAGCCCTAAGTGCCCATGAACTTTTGAGAAAACTACAAGTTACACCCCCATAAACAATGTAGCCTACTTAAAATGTTCGCCATGGCGAGAAACCTTGCGCAAAACTATCCATTATTTCAAAAATTGCCCTTTAAGGTCGTATTGCTTTCTAAAGGGAACTTTCCATATACCTAATGTTAAAAATACCTCAGCTGTACTTTATTTTTATGTAATTCTTTCAATTTATTACCTTATTAAAATCAGGTGTGATTATTTTTAATTACTGTATTCTGTTTTATTTATTTCAGCTTAACTTGATCAATAGGTTTATCTTTGGTTTTATTAATACTTATGAAGTCAAACGGGGTGGGGTGAAGACCGTGGGTAACAGCTAGTATTCCATAAACAAGTAAACTACAATTGTTTTCATTTTCGCCATAAGAATAACATGGGAATTTTAAATTACACTTTATTTTGAATTTTCTCTGTGACCGTTAAGCATACAACAGCGTTTCAATATACTAAATTATTTCTTTTTGTTAGCTCTACAAAATGGTTTAGAAAGAAATTGAATTTTCTTTTGTTTTTAGGGTCAACAATGGGAAACCCCCATTTTTACCCCCATGTTTTTTGTTCCCATGGTCCGATCATCGTTAGAATAAATGTAGGTTTACACGTTTATACGCTAACGGGCACACACATAAACATATATGTATATATATATATGTGTGTGTATGAATTTGAACGGATGGTGTTTTCGGCCTCTTGGGAGCTCAAAACGAATAATTAAATCGGTCCCGGGTCCAGGTCTTACCAATGAGACCTACGGTAATATCTTATTCCCTAAATGGGAAATTCGCTAAAAGAAAAGTTCTCTTTGAGTAATTGAAGAGGCATCACCTATGGCTAGAAGAAAGAAAAACACTGCAGAACTTTCCCGATCGTTCGAATCATTCCTGGGGATATGGAATGTCCTTATCTACTGCTACTGCTATAGATTCAAGTCCATGCAGCAGATCGCCAGAAACAGTAGCATACCCTTTACCTCCATAGAGTAGCATCATATAGATAAAAGTTGTATAGACATGTCTACTTTTATGTCTACTTCTATCTATGGTAGCATGATTCAACGCGTTCTGTTTTGTGAACGAGAAGCGGGGAAATGACTACAACCACGGCCACATTTAACTCCAGGGCCTTACCTAGTTGCCTAATTGCCAACGTTGCAAGTCATGGTGGCAACATAGATAAAACATCAATGTTTTATCTATGGTGGAAGTAAAGTGCTGTCTAGCGCCTAGCGCCAGACGTCCCATTAAGATAACATGACAGACAAGTGACACCAGCTCATTAATTCGCGTAAAATTAATTTACATTTATGATTATACATTTTTTTATTAAAAATAAATCATATGGAATTAAAAACTAAAACAATATTTAAATTGGAAATCTATTAGCGAATTCCTCATATAGGGAATAAGCTATTACCGCAGGTCTCATGGTAAGACCTAGACCCGGGACCGATTTACTTTTTCGTTTTGAGGTCCCTGGAGGCCCAAAACACCATCAGTTCAAATTCATATAGATATATATATATTTATGTCCGTTAGCAAGATAAATCAATCAATTATGATCCGATTTTGATAAAATTTGGTATTTATTTAGCTCTTAGATGTGTTGATTGATAACTGAGGAAGCACGCCGGAAGAAATGGAATATATGGGCTAAGCAGTGGCCTAATGATCGAAATAAAATTAGCAATAAGCTTCAAAAGTGTTTAATGATAAATAAGCTCCGCTAAAACCTATTTTTCAGCTTCATTTTCCGGGTGGGATTGCTGTGAAGACATCAAAACGCGACGCTGCTCTAGAACAACAATACTCACTGCAATAGATTGATGAATACCGTTACGACGAATATCCCATTTTTTTGTTTTATGGGGTAAAAATGGGGAAAATAAATTTTTACCTCTTAAACCCTCCCCCTATAATCCCCTATGTTGTATATATGCTACAGCCCATCACCTCAATCTCGATCTATTTTCTTTCAACCTTTATTTTTTGTGCTTCAGGAAGGCTTTCTGAATTATTTGTAGCCAAGACCTGGGGCCCATTTCATAATAAACTACAAGTTACAAGTTACAACTTGTAACTTGTATTTTCCATTAGATTTGCATTGGGCGATCAGCTGATTTACTAATAATATTAGTTTGTACTTTATTATGAAATGGGCCCCTGGACCTGAACTAGTTCACCAAACCTTTAGACAGCTTTTTCTTTTTGCTTTACCTTAGTTACTAACCTTTTTATGTTGATAACTTAACGTATATTAGCTCATAAGGATTAAACGTATAATAATTATTGTCCCACTTATAGCGAATTTCCCTATAGGGAAGTATAGCTATTACCGTGTAGGTCTCATGGTAAGACCTAGGCCCGGGACCGATTTTCTTTTTCATTTTAATGTCCCCAGAGGCCAAAAAACACCATTCGTTCAAATTTTTATATATGTATACCGGTATGTATATATATATATATATATATATATATATGTGTGTGTGTGTGTGTGTGTGTGTGTGTTTGTGTGTCCGGACGATAACTTGAGTAATTTTTGTCCGATTTTGATAAAATTTGGTTTGACGGTGTAAGGCGGGATAAACTTGAATGAGTTTGGAAACCAGCATGATCGGACCATCGGAACGGGGTTTAACGGGATGTTTTATGGGGTAAAAATGGGGTTTTTAAATTTTTACCCTGAAAACACAAAATGTATAAATTTTTCCCAGGCCTTTTCAAAGAGCTTAAAAAAATAATTAGTTTTTGTACAGTGAATGGTTACGGAGAAAATTAAAAAAATTGTTTTTTTTTTAATTCCAATGTTATTCTTACGCAGAATATTGTAAAATGTTGTAGTTGGCGGATTTATTTATTTCATACTAAACTATTAATATTAAAAAAAACACAGTTTATTAGTTTCTCTTTAACGGCTAACCTAGCTACTCGTTAAACATAAATTTTAATTTAATATATTAATTGTAAATCAAGCCAGGCTAATGGAAATTCGCTTAGTCGGCAGGTCTGCTACAGCGGGGGTAGTTGTATATTACCGATGGCATGACCGATGGCGGATGCCGTTGAGATTGATAGAAATGCAGAGCAGTTGTATGGATAAAAGTTTAGCTGAAACTTTATGGCAGACAAAAAACCTGATAAAACATAATCTAAACCAAACCTCGCCTCAACCTCAACGAACTCAAATCAAAATCTAACCTAAAAGCACTAACTTATTTTTATTACAGGAGTTTAGGCTACTATATATAGATATATTTTATATTAGTTCATATTACTGTAATATCTGTGTCATGGGTAACAGTAACAGTTATGTATTCGGTTGATTATTGTTTAAAATGTACGTTCTGTAGATGATTGCAACTTTAATGTTTCCTAAATAATCAGAAAATAGTCTATAGGTAAATTTATAGGTCAAAAATTTATTACTACTCTTACATTTCAAGAAACTGTTGTATTTTTATATCTGCTCTTAGGAAGTCCTGTCAAGTAATAAACGAAAATGAATACACTTTCAGAGGTAAGTAAATGAACAAAGATGTAGGCCTAAGAAAGTTAGGTGTATGGCTGTGGGGAGTGGGAATTTTTGGCCGGGATTTTCTCCCTAATCCTTGTATTTCCCCTTCTTTTGGGGTATGACAGTCCAAACCTCGTAAACTCCCTACTTTGGGGTGAGAAAGGGTACAGTTTCTTAACTGGGCTATGCTAATATCGATTGAAACTAGGCTATCACATTGAAAATATTGATTAATGATCAATATTTTTTAACTAGGCTATATCATTAATTATAAAATAAAACTGTCATAAACTAACTAAACTTGCTCGTGATGATAAAATCTAATGAAGGTTCACTAATCAAATCGATACCGGTAAGTCAGTTTCAATCAATATCAGCATAGCCCAGTTAAGAAACTGTACCCGCAAAGGGTACAATGGAACCATCACCGCCTCCCTACAACCCCCTATTTTACTTTCAAGAGGGCAAATGCCCCCTGATAAGAACACTTTTAATTTTGATAAGGAATTGTAAATTATGAAATCATTCACTAAACATAACTAAATTTAATTATAAGTTAGGTCCTAAGCCCTCTTAGAACAATACTGTCACATTACTGGTTGGCCAACTTCGAACAGTAGTATACAAAACGAGTTTATTATCTTCGCAGTCTTAATTTTCACACAAAGCTGCTTTCAACTTTGTAAGATTTCAGTTTGTTTTAAGTTAGAGCATTTTGCTTTAGGGGTATTTAACTTTAGGCCTACTTTTAAACAAGGTTAGGCCTATTATAAAAAGTTAAAAGCCTTAACTTATTTCTGTTAAAACAAATATTAAGGTAGGTAGGTAACCCTATAAATATATATATAACAAATATTAGTTTTATTATAACTTAGTATTTAAAGAAATAAATCAAAGTCTTTAAATTTTTAAAGACATGACACAATCTATCTTGACATTGTCAGTCAAGGATTAAGAATACAAGTATTCAAGTAAGTAAGTAAGTAAGTTTATTCAAGTAAGTGTTAAAAAGTTAGCATTAACTTAAGTGCCTTGTTTCATAGAAATTTAAAAATATTCATCGCCTTATTAGGTTTGCCTCTATTTAATTTGATTGCTTGTCAAGAACAAAAGCCTGGGATGCCCGTTCATTGATTCATACAAGAAGTAGAAGTAGGCTAACTAAAGTTAAGGATGTGTCTGAGTTTTCTCTGCGAGGGCTTCCAGTTCTTCAATCCTACAATTCTTCTCCATTCCCTCAGTGATTTAAAGTAGCCTACCATAAAAGCAGTGTGAAGGGCATGTTTATTATCTACCACAGGGGTCTCCATCCTTTTTTACTCAATGGGCCACATTGACTATTTTATGACGAAAGGCGGGCCAGACCGTCAACATTTCAGTGTAGAGAGATAGCCCCCCTTCAAATAACACAAAACAGGTAGTTTTCTATTTAAAAGCTCAGAGATGAAGTTTGAAAATTTATTGCTGATTTTTTGTTGTTACATATATAGGCCTAAGTTAACTGTTTGACTAAAAAACTAAAATTCTGTACATTTTTGTGCAAATACCAGATAAAATAATTTACCCAGGCCTAAGTTAAGTTACCTCACATAATTATTTATGGGTAGGCCTACCTATAAACTGTGTTTGTCATAATTTATACTTTGTCGTAGCATGTAGGCTTATGATTATTCAAATTCATAAGGAAGGAAGTTAATATGAATTCATTTTAGAGTATATTTACCTTGATATTAGTATTTTTTCGATAATGGAGGTTTTTAAGTAGAACTAATAATGAAAACACAGGTTGATACAACACCAAATATTTTTGTTGTAGGCCCAAATATTTTTTAAGTAAGGCCGGGTTCACACTATCCGTTTTCAACGGTCCCGTTTAACGGGAGCGTTTTTGACGGAAGACGCCAACACATTGTATTGAATTGGCGCGTCCACATTGTCCGGTCGAAACCGGACGAGAAAACACAACTCACTGTCAACCGGATGATGCCGCGTGGCGGGACGACAGGACATTCGATGCAACCGGACGAAGACGAAAAACACATTCAGTCTTGTGGGTGCGTTCACACTATCCGGTTTGTTTCCTGATGTTATTATAAAAAGTAAGGAACGTTCACCTGCATCACGTTCACGACAAAAAGGATGAATCCAATGACTTCTGTTATTGGTTCTCAGTAAACCACTTGCTTCCATTACACAGACAAATTTTATATTAGACAGCATGACTATTACCTTCTAAAACCAAATTTACAGCAAGTAAGAAAATGTAACTGAACAGCCACGTCTACACTCCGACTTCACGACCGAGAATGGCGCGTGGGATTAACCAACCGGGTGACAGGTACGGATGATGTGGACGCGCAACACTCTTCCCGTTAAAACGCACCCAAACGCACCCGTTTTTGACGGATGCGGTGAAACGGATAGTGTGAACCCGGCCTAAGTTTACTTGATTAAACATTTAATTGTAATGATGGTAAGAATAATCAACAACGAGTTTACCAGGAGTGTAAAACTAAAATCAACAGCAATTTTCAGACAGAATGTTCAGCCAAATCAGGGTTAAAGCTTGTTGTCCTGATCCTTCATAGGATTGTTTTCAATTCAAAGGTTCACTTAGCTTGGAAGATCTGTAGGCCTATTAAGATCGCTCAATCACTAAGCACATGCTTAGAGTTCATTTCTTTGATTGGATAAACGTGAAAAGTGTGAGAGAGGTGTACTTATTACAACTAGTGTCTCTGTTGCTCGAATTCGAGCAATTGCTTAGTATTAGAGGAGCTATTTTAAAACAAATAAAATTTATAATTTCTGATGACTTTTAAAGATTCTACTCAAAGATAATGGAAATACTCTAGATGTACATAACAGATCAATATAGGTACTCAACATTTCTTGTAAATATCTTATAGTTTTTCAAAAGCTGATCTTGTTTTTTAGTGTTTTCTTCAAATAGCCTTACTCCTAACCACATTAGGTTGTCCATAATAACGATTATAAATAATAATAAAAAAAAAAAAAAAAAACATTATTTCTATTTCTTCTCCTTGGTGGTGTTCTATGACTTTCCTATGTTTCCATACTTTGCAAATCGGCTCTTTCAATGATTACTAAGAAATGCAGCACAGTGTTAATTCAGTTATCTATTTAATACTGTATCAAATTTTCCAAGCTCTATCGCTTTTTTCCATTACAATATTTAAACGCCAACCCAAATTCAAATAGTAAATATTTCATTTCAACCAAGTCAGTAAATGTTTGTAGCAAACTGTAAATTGGCAAACTTATTGCCTGTTTATAATTAACATATATGTTCCTCTTCTCACTTTTAATTTCTGACAACAGCTTGAGTTTCATAACAATTTTTGTTTCCCATGTTAATCTTATGGAGAAATACAAAACTTTAACCCTTCCCGGACGGGTGACGGATATATCCGCCTTCTTATTAAACAGACTGGCAGGTGCTTGAGCAGTAACCAGATATTTCGCGGTACCAAGGCACCACTTTCCTGCTCTCTCCATGGCTACGCTCTCTCCCGCACTCTCCCCTCTCACCCACGCCTTCCCCTCTCGTGTGTCACCCCCTTCCGCGCACCGCCCACCGCCCACCTCTCCTACGCTCCCCCCTCGTCATTTTGCGCTCAACACTACATTGTCTTTATTTATTGTTTACATATTGTTCTTTATTTATTGTTTACATATTGTTCTTTATTTATTGCCTAATGTTGTCATGGTCATATCTTCAAAGACGGGTGGCGGATATATCCGCTGCTTTTCTACTCATCTTCGGACGGGTAGCGGATATATCCGCATAGTTAAAAACAAGTAAAAATTATTTTGACAGTATGAAGTGTTTTATTGTGTTTATTTTATGTATACTTGCAAAACAAAACACAAATAACAAAAATAAATTTTTATTTTTTCCTATAATTTTCCCCGTTCTATGTCACGATTTCGCCTGTCCGGGAAGGGTTAAAGGGCCCCAGGGCCTTACTCTCTAATTATTTCCCTAAAAATAAAGTTTGCTGCACAACTTCACGTTACGCTCTTTTCAATGACACCAAAAACATGTCAATCGGTTCAGTAGTTTCAGAGGAGTAATTGTCACAAAAAACCTACTTGCGTATAAAATCTATATAAATAAGTATCCTTATATATAATACGTGAAGGCGATTTCTACGAAACACTAGAGGTCGTGCGGAACGAGGTGAAGCCTGAGATTTTCGGCGGGAACGGTCTAAAGTGGGGAAATCCATGGTGGGGGTAGGAGACGAGCCGATCGTCGCCTCGCATAGCGACACTTCCCCCGCCACACCACTATTCCCCTCCAAGCTTCACCTCGTTCCGTACGACCTCTACTCCTCCGTTAATAATGGACGGATTTTTACAAACAACGTGTCCAAATAAAGTATTTTTTTTGTGTAGACGCCCCCTTTCACCAATTCCTGTTATAAAAATCCTCGGGCTTTGCCCCACAGGCCTTCAAAGTTGGATTTTCTCCCATAAGATTAACATGGGGGAATTTAAATATTTAATTGGAAACTTTGTCCCCACTAATTTGAGACTTTATGTTAATGATAAGGCTGAGACAACTAACTGACATCCCCCATGTCAAGGAATTCCAGCTTTAACAGTAAACCCACAATCAATTTCTCAAAACTATGCTAGAGGGTTCATTCATTGGCACAGAAGTACGATATGAACTGACGCGACGTGACGAAGGAAAAATCAAACTTACACTGTAACGGATATACCTCCCTTTAAAGTTAGAATACGTCTTCCCAAAAAATATTTTCTTTTCAAATTAAATAATATTTCACTGATGAAATCACGGAAGTTTTTAACTACAAAAGACCCACCAATACGATTTTAATACTATTTAAAGGTTCTTCCAAAGGAAGAAATATATAACATACTAATAATATCTCCGATGACGTACGGTATGGGAAATATTAAATAATCATTGAATGATCATCCAAATTTGGCCACTAACGCAATTAAAATCACTATTGTTTTTACACTTAATACCCTTTAAACAATGCTAAATGCTCAAAATATGTATATTTCACCCAATTTATCGCAGTTGGATGAATAAACGTAAGCCGTGAAAGTAACCGTAGATTTCGACGGGTTTCACCTAGTACAGTTGAACCTCGTTTGTACGAACCTCGATAAAACGAATTCCTCGATAAGACGAATTTTTTTTAATCCCCTTGACACTTTCATATAGGTCAATGCTAAAAACACCTCTATACAACGTAGTAATTAAGTTAAAAACCTCCATAAGACGAATTTGTTTGTGACATGGGCTAGGACTGATTAACCTCTATACAACGAATATTCTTAGCACAAAACCTCTACAAGACGAACGTGACCTCTATAAGACGAATTTATCATAATCTTAACCTCCATAGTACGTAGTTTTCAAAACAAACAGAAGCTTGTCTCAACATGAAACCCCCACCCATCCCTCCTCCTTCCTCAGTCATTGTTTGGAGAAACCTTGGAGCGAGGAGAAACCTCTATAAGAAGAATAACAGCAGCATTAAACCTCGATAAAACGACCCTCTTTATTAAGAATACCTCTATAGTACGAATTTTTCCCGTACCCCTTGAAATTCGTCTTATAGAGGTTCAACTGTATCCTTATATATAATAAGTGAAGGCGATTTCTACAAAACACTACTCCTCCGTTAATAATGGACGGATTTTTACAAACGACGTGTCAAAATAAAGTATTTTTTGTGTAGACGCCCCCTTTCACCAATTCCTGTAATAAAAATCCTCGGGCTTCGCCCCACAGGCCATCAAAGTTGGAGTTTCCCCCATAAGATTAACATGGGGGAATCCAAATATTTAATTGGAAATTTAGTCACCACTAATTTGAGAGAACGGCTGGGCGTAGAAACTTGGTAGAGGTGTCCAAAGAAAGGTCTTGGTCTGTAGATGAGTTATAAAAAGAAAAACTAAGCAAAATTCCTTACAACTCTGCCCCAGAAGCCTTTAAAGATCCCTCCACAGAGTTGTTTACGTTTTGGACACAAGAATAATACTTTTTAATGAAACAGCTGTTCATTTTTAAATTCTATTTCAAACAACACACATTTATTGGGAGTTACTGAATTGTAGGCCTACCATAGACTAACCAACACAACTTGGGGGCGTATGTTTTATCTATGATTGTACCAAATAAGTATTTGCAATGTTATTTTCTGATTTTAAAATTGATTTTCTTTTTTATCATGTCATGTTTTGCAATGTAACGTTCCATTACGAAATCGGTGGAAAATCCTTTTATCACAGCAATTCTTAAATTATTTCTTATTGAACTATCTTATATCTATTGAACGGGTTGGTGTCTGCCTTTTTCACCAATTTTGCCTACATTTTATTCTACACATATCAAATATTTATGTAGAAATATCTGCTCTTATCGTGTCTAATAAAATCCAAACATAGAAACCTTGCCTGAAATGGTACCCATCTTGACAAATTATTTGCACCTGCCTATATTACGGACTTTGGCGCACTGGGTTGGTAACATTATTGAAAATTCTGGGCAACAACACAAAATTTTGGCTGTAAAATACGGTACAAAGAGAAAATACTATTTAAGCAGCTACTGTCATGACAGAAAGGTCATATTCCTTTTAAGCTAGATCACATAATCCTTTATAAGATACGTTGATTAACAATATGTAAACGTCACATAAAAGTAAATATATATGTAACAGCCAATTAACAGTATTTTTGCTTTTTGGAAATGTCCCATTGCTATGTCATTTGCATTATTTGTTGCCAATGAAGCCGCCAAGACCATATGAACTATGAGGACCCTAACAGTTCAAGAATAAAAGCCAACTTCACTTCAAGTATATTCCACTACACCTAACATTCCGTAGAGAGATTATATTGACACTTTATGTTATTTATAAGGCTGAGACAACTAACTGACATCCCCCATGTCAAGGAATTCCAGGTTTATCAGTAACCCCACAATCAATTTTTAAAAACTATGCTAGAGGGTTCATTCATTGGCACAGAAGTACGAAATGAACTGACGCGAGGTGACAAAGGAAAAATCAAACTTACACTGTACAAGTATAATATATAACAACTATACGTTATATAAGTTAAAATATGTCTTTCCAAAAAATATTTTCTTTTCAAATAAAATCTTCAAGTGTTAACTACAAAAGATCCACCAATACGATTTTAATACTATTAAAAGGTTCTTCCAAAGCGTACGGTATGATGAATATTTTATTCATTGAATGATCAACCCAATTTGGAATTGGAAGTGGAATTTCACTCAATTGATCGCAGTTGGATGAATTAACGTAAACCTTGATATAGGTACCTCCCTTTGAAGTTAAAATATGTCTTTCCAAAAAATATTTTCTTTTCAAATAAAATCATCAACCGTCGATTTCGACGGGTTTCACCTAGTATAGATATATAATACGTGAAGCCGTTTTTTGTTAATGCAACTCCTCCCTTATTTGTGGACCAATTTCAACGTTTAAGGTGTCAAAATATTCGTCTCAATATGTAGTTTTGCAATAAGGTTTTAGAATTTTAAAATTCCTACTCTTAAGGACGTGAGGCCCTCTGAAAGGTCGGGTTTTCCCCATAAGAAATACATAGAGTAAATTTAAAAACAAAAAACAGCTGTTTATAAAAAGAAACTCATTAGCTTAATGTGAGTAAATATTAATGTTTTTGTAATATTCAGTAGGTTAAGACCAAGTTAAACAGCTAATCAGTTTTGTTGGAGAACGGAAAATGCATCAAGTTCAAAGAAGAAATATTGAAAACGGGAGGAGGTGACAATTAAGATATCTTATGCGTATAAGGAGAGTAGAGAAAGAGAGGCCTTGCCTAACAGATACCCATCCAGATACACATCCACTTGGTGAGCTGAATAATATTTGCCAGTTCTGCTATGCAACTTACTTTGGAAGTGAAAAAATATACGAAGCACATAGTATTATTGTCAAGGTGGTAAAGTAAACTTGCCCAATGTCAGATCAAATGAATGCATGCAAGAAATGTTTACTTCTGACACTGACAGATCGAAATATTTCCAAACATTTTGTAGAAACCATAATAATGCCTTGACTATGATAAGTTCAAGTAGTAAGATAATACCAAATCTTGGCGGACCTTATGTTTTTATTGTAAACTTTTGTATTACTCGCTCTACTTAATTGAGAAAAAACACAAATAGATTGTTTACTTGTAGGTTATGTTGCCAGTTCCTCGGACAAACTTATTCAAAGTTTTTTGACTGAATTCACCAACACAATCAAGACATTTCAAGTCAAAAATAAGAAGTTTCAAAAACTCATTTGCTATTGAAAGTTTTAGTGGCAATATTAGACCAAACACAAGTGAAGGAATTAGTGTTTATGTATTCAACGATCGAGTAGTTACGTTAAAGTTTATTTTTATGATTCAGGACAGGCAAATAATATACGCTGTTCAAAAAGAGAAAATGAAAATTGCTATCCAAATCTTATAGCTACAAGAGTTATCCAACCTATTTCGACAAATGAATCCATACTTTCAAATCTTTGGAACAGGTATTAAGAGGAACTTCACTGAACAACGTGAGCACGTTCTGATGTGGGGTATATACTGTGACTGACAGACAACACGTTAAAATACGTTAACCAGCTTTCAATAGTGTTGCTGCTTTAGCCTATTCAAAGCAGATTATGGCTGTCCAGTTGGTAACCCAGAGTTTGTGGGTAAAATAATGGAGCACATGAAATGGTTGATATCACCCCACTTTTCAGGATTCTCTACGGGGAAAATTTGTTTGATAAGGGGGATGTCTCAAATCAAAGAAATAAAATGACCCAACTTAAATTACCTAACACAGGTCAGTAAGGCAACAGTTTCCTTAAATTCTCAATGCTGGAAAAACTTTGTTGCAACATGTTAGCTCAAATTGAAGCAGATCGTTTAGCATTCATTAGAAGTTATCAGTTAAAAACTGAGAGAAGAAATAATGTAGGTGAACCTTGACGACGCAAATAGAGATATAAAATTAGTTTCTAACAAGTGTTTAAACAACTCTAATATGTAACTAGATTACTCAAATTTAAACATAACGTCCTTGGCGTTATGTTTCATACTATGCGGCTCATTGAGTAAGTATAGATTAATTAACATTAAAAAATATCAGTGTAACATAAGTTTATTATCTGGACACCTTTTCATTACAGCTAGCTGGAGATCAACAATCTGGTGACAAATCCAGAACATTTATCTTCAATGACGAAAACCATACCTTGGGGAACTGCTTAGTGTCAATCATTACACAATAGTAAGTTTATTTTTTTCTACCATTCTTACTAAAAACATATTCTTGTATTCGGGATCGAGCTGGGTTGAAATAAGTAAGTTAGTGACCGGTACATTTTTAATCTGCCTGATGATGAGATTTAAATCTCGAAACCTGGTTGCCATAGATTACTTTTAGGAATACTGACAGACTGGTAACATAAACCATTTAATTCAACAAGTAATCATGGACCACTAATCATAATGACATTAAATTCTCCTTAAATTTGAAAGGTTTGCTCAGAGATGGTATAGTCAGAAGTACGGCTCTCTGACCAGCCCCCCAGCATCCTGTGTAGTGCTGAGCGCACACAATATACTTGATGGTAGGGGCTTTTAGTGTAGTTTTCAACCCTGAAGTAGTTTTCATTATAGTTGCGTGCCTATCATTGTAATATGAGCCCATTTCACATGGACTCCTGATATATTTGCATTTCATATTATGCCTATATTTATGACATATAATGTGATGTAGTGAGGATGTTCTGTTCTGCGGATATACTGTGCCACACCCTGCCGAACAGAAGATGCATCTGAGGATACAGACTAACGGGCCTCCAGCCATTCAAATCCTGCAACGCGGACTGCAGGATCTGGAGAAGAAGTGTGACCAGGTGGCTGCCAATTTTAAGGTTAGTATGTAAATTTTGACAAATATTAGCGGACATCGCATTCCCATAAAGCTAAAGGCAGATTTAGGACTAGTCTTGACTGGGCTGCATAAATCACGTTTACGCAACAATGGTCTCTCTGGCAACAGAAAGTTTGTCCACAGAGGATCACGTGATAACAGCGCAACAGTAGTACTGTACAGCTGTACTAATGGCTGTTAGTACAGATTTTTGGTATAAAGAGAATGGTGGGATGGTAAACATGTTAGAGATTTGAAAACGCATGTTGTTACTTAAAAGCTACATGCTCACACTCGTGTAGGCACAATTAAAATAAAATCTATTAATCTAGATCTAGTATCCAATGAATAACCTACTTTAATTGATATACAAATCTGATGGATTAATTCTCTTATGGAAAACTAAGAAGGATCATCGAATAGCAATTTTAAGTCCCACAAACTAAAATATTTTTGTTCAAAGTCGTCATTATTTCATCAACAATCTACCATCATGGTTGGCATCTAACTCGGGTTTTGTTACTATCTCATTTACTTAGGCCTAAATATTCTTGCCAAAAAACATAAAAATGAATACTTCAATTGGCTTAACATTTTTGTAACAATACTGAAAACTTGGCTCTTACAATAAGTTTGAAAGTCACATTTACCATGCACAATAGTGGGTTGGTAAATTAACCTATTGTTAATTTAAAATGACCAGTATGTTAGGAAAAAACATATTTTGAATCCACTGACTTCAAAAGGAATAAAGTTAAGCATTTGTTGGATGGATTCTAATAGGAAAAGTTTCAGAAATATTTTGAATTCACTCACTAAGTATTGCTGCTGTTGTTCCTTCTGATTTTAATACTGCATTTTGTTCCTTCTGATTTTAATACTGCATTCTTATTCTTACAACTTAGTTCGACACAAGATTTTTTGAAGTTACCTTTTTTCAGTTTCCTTTTGTGACTACAAACAAGATCAAGAACAAAAGGCAACTATTGTAAAAACCCAATAGAAACTACTACTACACAATTAAGATGCTTAACTTTGATAAATTTCAAATTGGTGTTGTTTTTGTTTGTTGGGTTTGAAAGGCAACTGACAAAACAGGTCCTATGGGTTGTAAAAAGTTCTTTAAATTGGGTAACACTTTTAATTTGCACTATTGTTTGTTTCAGACCGCAAGGAGGGAATATATGAGTAAAGAAATGGAGGATGTGGACTGAAATGAACATTTGATGTAAATATTTTTTATAAAATTCTTTTTTAATAACATAAGGTTTTTATACCTCCTAATCCTGATAGAATTGAGAATTGTAAACCAAGAATTTATGACTTCAATACTTAGAAAATTACAGAAAAGGAAAAGGAACGAAAAAAATGTACTTATCTGTTAAGGATAATCTACAATTACGATTGAGATTTGACTTCCACGGCTGTGTTTACTTTGGTTGGGCAAGTAAAATGATGGCTCCCGCTTGGCCAAGCTTGCCATTTGAAACAAAATTGTAGCAGATTACTGGAAACCTGTGGCGACTTGTCCATTCATGGTTACAGTGCTCGCCACTAGCAAGCACACACAGGGACAAGCTTGCGCTTCTCCAATCAGGAAACAAAAAAAATTGTTTCTAGAAGCAAGTGTGCCTCAGTTTGCTGTGGTTCACTGACACAGTAGCATCGGTTGTGTAAAACTGTTGTATTAAGTTTTTAGTTGTTCAACATGGATACTGAGTTTTTTTTGTCACAAAAAGGAAAAATTTTGAAACTTAAAAACGGTCTTTATTCAAACAATTTATTCCATTTTAAATAGTGCTTTACAAGCTAAACATTGTGTTAACATTTGCATAGAGAAGAAAACTGAGGACAATATGACAATAGACAAAAGACAATATGAAACAATTTACCAACTAATAAGGTACATTTTATTAACATTGGTTATCTATATTGCTTTGTAACACTGCTGCCTAATTATTCTTGGTAAAACAATTGCAAAAGTAACAATTCACAAGCTCATTTAAATATAAGGTAGGCTACTTATCATTTTACATACATTTCATTTTAACAAGTACAATACACAAACTCAGTTAACAACCATTGATAAATGTTTGGTTTTTTAAATTGGGTAGGTATTATCAAAATATTTTTTTCTTATTCTGTAGGTATTAGTAGCAAAAGTTCATGACATTTTTCAAACAAATCTTAAATCTACATTTAAATTAGTTTTAGTAGGTACATTATTTACTACAGTAGGCCTACCTTTCTTTCTGTTTAATAAAATCATTACAATTCATTTATGTTCCTAGCCAGTGGGGAAAAGAAAGCCTCGGTCCTACCCATCAAAATCTTCGGGTGTTTTTAAAAACTTACTTTTAATGTAATTTAATGTAATCCCATCCTTTTCCGAGGCTTGGTAACTACGTTTCGTAACTGGTATGTTTTCCGATGCGGGTTGTTGGCCCAACGCCCAACCCTTACAAGCCCTTGGAGGACCAGGCTCGAGTTGCCTGCCTTTCGCCTACCTCATAAGTTCCAAGCCAACCTAGGATGCGTTTCCTACCCTGCACTACGGGGAAGCATCAGACAACTCTTGCTAACACCTTGGATTGCACTACTGGGACTGACAGTGTTAGTGTTTTCCCTTGACGTTAGCCATCGGCATGTGCTAAGAAGAGAGAAAGGAACAAGACTGTATGAAGTTTGGAGAGCCAAACCTGGAGGTAAACATCCTTTGGGAAAGCCGAAATTGAGATGGACTGACCAAGTGTTGAACACATCTAGACAATTGGTGCAAATGTCAACTTGGCAGAACACGTGGAAGTGTGGAAGAGGCACACAAGGTGAAGAATCAACTGAGATTTGTGGAGCCGCGGCAGTAAGTAAGTAAGTAAGTAATGTAATCCCATATAAGAATAAATAAGCATCTCTATACAGAAATACTTCCACCCCAGCAAACCTGCAGAGTGCAGACTAAGCAAATTCTAGTGATGTGAACTATCCGATAGAAACAAGCGATTCATCCGGTTGTTGCATGCCAACTGATTCATCCGATGGTTACTTTAATTTTCGTGAGCCATTCATTCTATCACATGTGATCAGCAGAATGAACTATCTCATCTACCGGTATCTGTAAACTACCCGATCCAAGTTTTCATTCAATTGTTAAACTATCTGTCCTGCATTTTCATTCAGTTGAACTATGAACTAGTTATTTGATTACTGGACTGTTCTTCAGTGGAGTCAATAAAACTAGTAGCCTATATTCTTATTAGTATTTTCTAACTAGTTTTAGCTAATTCTCAAAACGAGGTGAATAAGAATTTGCTAAAACTAGTTAGAATATACCTGGGTCATTTGCCGAATCCTAGTATATTCTAACAGGTTATAAAAAAACTAGGCCTAGAAAATACTAAGATGACGCAAACTTTCAATTCTGAACATATCACCCGCCTTGGTGCCCTTTGTTTCCACACACTACACAGGAATACCTCAGTCTAGCTTTATATGTCTGCAAGTGAAGATTACCCTCCATGTATTGTATACTCAGAAGAAGAGCTGGATGATCATGTGGTTGAGGTAGGGAAGAACGTTGATCGGGCATTGCTGGTAAAATCCATGTTGAAAATCCATGTTTTCACTAGTAAAACGTATAAGCTGCATTACATATTTTCATCTAACTCACGTCTATCACAGTGCGTTTTTCTATCATAAACGTAGCCATGACTGGATGATAACCCTTCTTTGGCTTCCGTCACTAGAGAAAGCTAGCCTGCCTACCCCTAGCTTAAAAATCTTTAAGAATATACTAACCCTGGCTTGTAAAAACTAGCTTTTATTCACCTACAAAGATTAGAATATTCTAGTCATTTGGTGATCTTAGAATTTTCTAGGGGTAGTATATTCTGACTATTTTTATTCACCTAGAACTTAGAATATAGGCTACTTGAAATCAGCTTAGTTTGCAAATACTACTTTTTATTTTTATTCACACCACCCATTGAATGCCGTGTATTTGCACAAATGAGTTAGTACTTTACATTATTTAATTATCTACACAAATGTAGAGTATTAAATATTAAAAAGGTTTAATTATTCATCCATTTACAGTTAAATTATCTATCCAGATCAACAGTAACTTGCATTTATGCAGATATTGATATAATTAATTTTAGTTTAAATTATTAATAATATTATTAAGTTAGTATACTAACAGCCTTGATACCTTTTTAAAGGTGTATAATTATTACGTGAGTAAAACATCAAATATAACGAGTGGTCAGAAATCTGGACACATCAAAAGATTAAATAACTACAACCAAGCAACTTAGAAAAATGGGAATAGTCTTCTTAAATAGCAAATAACAAACCTTGTAAAAAATAACATATAATTGTTTTAATAACTTTAAACGAATGAAAAATAAATAAATATATTTATTGTAAAAAATAATACATAGAAGAGGGAAGTAATTTACTAAATGTTAGTTCTTTAATCAGGCAAAACATCTAAAACACTCAAACATATGATTTATCTGTTTATTCATAAATGGTTAAATTCTCCGAAATATGGCGCTGGATAGGAACGCCAAACGCCACACTATTAAAACTATCTTTCTAATCAGGCGCGCGAACAGGATGGTCTATCTATTCATTCTCTAGTCGGACAGATAGTTTTATCTGTCTCCGGCAGCAGCACGGACTCTCCCCACCCCACTACACTAGAAAACCATCGAATGAATCATCCATCTGAAGACTATCGGATGAAACGTCGGATGGTCAAAATCAGTCGTTTGTCCCATCACTATGAATTTTCATTTACCTGATTGGATTTTCAATTAAATCTATTTAAATAACATTAGGTTTAACAAGTACCTAGGTATGCTTCTACAGGGAGAGTAATAAAAAAGTGTGTTTTTTAGCAAAATATTAATAGCTTAGTATAAAATAAATAAATTTGCCAAGTGTTATCAAAATATATCCATACGCAAATACAGTAAACTTATTCTCCATAACAATAAAATGGGAATTTTAAATTTACAATTTTTTAAATAGTCTCAGTAGCTAATAGCTGTACAAAAACACTTCAAATTTTAGCAAATAGTTTTTTGGTCTCTAGGGACATCAAAATTAAAAAGGATATTGGTTCCGGGCCCAGGTCTTACCATGCCACCTACGGTAATAACTACTTCCCTATAGGAAAATTCGCTAAAATTTGGTGACAAACCTAATTTGTCGACAGCTGTTAAAAGATTGATAAGGAATTTTGTCAGTAGTACTGGTAACATCTTTATTTTTCCTTTGGGGGGATCCAGATGGTTGGAATTCTACTATATTTCTGACATCAACCAATTTACTATAATAGTTCCCTGAATGCTTTGCAAAGCTAATTTTCTTTCCAATGTCTTCTCAAAGTGCTTAGAGATCAAAATATTACTCAAAGCTCTCTCTAATAAATAAGAAAAAAGACCAATAAATTTGTGTTCAATGGCTAACTGACATAGGGTCTTTCCATTGAAAGTCTTCAGGCGAAGCGCCGTAGAACATCCAGTAGGCGAGGTTGAGAGCAGCGAAGGACGTTGGGAACAGAATGCGCGAAGCCTGGTCAATGTACGACACACTGTTGACGTGTTTGGGTACCTCTCTCGTAGCCTCCCGCTCTCTTTGCTTGCGGTAGTTCTCGTAACCCACTGCAATATGTCAATAATTAATTGTAGAATATAAGTATACCCAAAGTCTCTACAATTCGAAGGGAGGGATTCCTTCCTGTCATAACAACTATACTTATACATCCTATTAGCACAGTAGTTCATCTTAAATAATGCCATTGATGAGGCAAGAATTAATTGCAAAAAACAAACAAAATTTAACAAATCCTTAAGTAGCTAACTAAAAAATAAGCTTTTGTTTTTTGCAAACCTAAAATAAAATATTTAATTGTAAAGTTCTGTCCCTTATATACACTATTTAAAAAATAAACTCTTTGTCATTCAAACAGTTTATCTTTCCCCGTTGATAATTATTCAACTCTCTTGATGATTTAAAATTTATTTGCTCTTGGCCCACCATTTCAAATTATCAATAGACTACTATGTAGTTATATTCCGTTTTTAACCATAGGAATAAAATAAAGAAAATAAGATGCAAAATTTCTGACCAAGACAGTAAAAGAGCTGTTTCCACTTTGGCACTTGATTCTCAGTCTGAGTCTGGCGCTCGACGGTCGTGCGGCTCGTGTGCACTCGAGCGCCAACTGTAGACAGAGAGAGTCTTTTGGGAGATGCGCTTATACCTCCTGTCATTCCTATACTTGGGTCCTGGAAACATTATAAATATGTTGATTTTTTTCTTTTGAAATAGCATCCTAGAGTTTCAAAAGAGAACTCAAAACAGGATTAATTAATACTGAACATTTTGGTGATTTATTTAGTACAACTAAACTTTAATTCTGACAATAATTTACATGATATTGGATAATTCAATAACAAAACTTGCATAAACTAATATTTTTTTTTTAGATTTTCCCAAACTTGGTCATAGACAGGCGAATCTTCTCCTGCGTTGTTCCCATTTCTGAATGAGTCTGGATTCCGAACCCTCAATATACGATACAGTTTTCTCGCCAGGAAGAACACACCTTAGTTCCCTTGCCAATAGAATCACCTAGTGTAGTAATTTTAAATGTTGAATTCCAGGTTGCAGCGCATGTTAGGTGTATTTACAGCAGTTTTTTATGTGTTTTACTTGCATAAATAAGTGATAGCTTGGTTATCCCACTTCCAATTGAAAGGGTTTTATAGTAAAAAATGAATAATTAAATTAATGCAAGTCTACATACTACTAGTCTTGCATCTAATATATTGGTGTTTTTAGCCCTGATAACTCGTAACAGTTTTTAATTTTAAGGGGGGGTACTTTATATAAAATATATTCTTCTGCCTTAGACACCAACATTAACATTCTCCAAGTCTTTATGACATTTTGTTATACTACTGTAAGACCTATCGGGTAGAACACACCTAGGACAAACTATAGGTATATAGGCAGGCGATATCAGCGGTTCGGAACCTGTTACCGGTACCTGCCAATACGACTTACATTGTATATTGGACATATGAGTGATGAGCGACGACGCGCAGCTCTGAATGTGAGGCTCTCTGTGTCACTACCTGCTCGGGCTCGACTGAGGTCCATCCCTACACTCAGACCTACCACCTGTACAAAATGCAATATGGTTACGATTATTTGATTTTAGACTAAATATTGTTTTTCAATTTTGCTTTGACAGATAGATGTTGGTGTTTGTAGGTGTAGATGTTGATGTATATTCCAAGTGAGTTTTTGAAACATTAAAATGATTAACATTCAAAGATTGTGGATACCATATCATATTTTAATCACAGATTTAAAATGTTCCAGAATACACACAGATGTGTTAACTCCTTTTATTATCCACTTCGTTGATCAAAAATAGTTCAAGAAGACGGCCTATCTGTTTCCAACTGACACTCATGTGCAAAGAATTGCACAACAACTATTGTAGTCTTTATGATACACCTCTTGAAATCACATTTTGTCTGCTTTTGTGTGTTTGAGCAAGTAGTCTTAAAAATATATATATAACTGCATCGCAACGTACGTCGCACAGTTATTAAATGTTATTTAGTAAATATCAATATTTTGTAGCATTTATCATATAAGCAATGTTGTTAGTTGAATACTTTTGTACAATACTTTTTACTATTTCGAGTAAACTTTAAAACAAATTACCTCATCCACTCCGACGTCTTCCCACTCTTCTTCGTCCACCGGGATTTCACCACTTCCCACCTGGAACGCAAAAAAATTAAGCTTCTGTAAAAGAAACAAGATAAAATATATTGTATTTTATTTTACTTGTCGGTAACGTATGTTGCATACCTTGGTAAAGTAGTGCACACCGGCAAACTCCAGCAGAGTAGCTATACAGTATAAGAAAGACATCAGGAGGAACCAGTCTAATGCTGTGGCGTACCGAACCTTAGGAAGGTCAGTCCGACTGTCTAAACTGATGGTGGACAAGGTCAACACAGTTGTGATACCTTTAACAGGAGGAAACATAAATATTAAGCCTAGAAATCATAATCGAGCAAATAAGTGATCGAAGAAAGCAACAAACTCACCTAAGATTTCTAAAGGTTGTTGCTATTCGCCTTTAGCTAGCCAGTCATACGCCAATACTTCTTCTCTTCCGAGGCAACTTTTTTGGTTATTTTATTTGTATAGAATGTCTGTTGTGATTGTTCTTGCAGATGTGTAATTAGCGATTCCAAATGCATTGTTATGTTCAAAGGAATATAAATACTCTTATTCTTAAAATAGTCTTATTTTTAATAAACAGGTTGAACTATTTTTGGCAGTTCACACTGGAGGTCATCATATCTTTTATTTATCGTCATGTGTAATAATAAGCTGATCGGTCTGTAACAGAGCTTCAAAGTCATTTCACCCGCATCTTTCCAATGTGGCTTGAAATACCCCTAACAGTATTGACTTTTCAATATTTCTGATAACTTTTAAACGTTTATTTTATGTATCCCTAAGTGTTATTCTTAAAATTAAACCTCCCAAAAGCGTTCCTAGGATAACAATTGTACAAATATACCATTAGATACAGTGGTAGTTATATAGTAATACACTAAATATCCACAACTATAAAACATAAATCCTACGGATACTCACACAGTCCCACCCTGTCACTAGTGGCTTCCCGATGTATCCAGAAAGATACCCAGGACAGTACCACAATCAGGATACAAGGAACATACACCTGGATAAGGAAATATCCTGTGTTCCTCTGCAAGTTGAAGTTCACTTGCAGCAATGAAAACTCTCCTACAGAAATGAACAGTGTTACTGTGTTACTATACTACAACTGATGTGCCGCATTAAACCATTGTTATGTTGTATGGATGCGATTTAAATTATACAGTCAAATACATTACGAAGTACACTAGGTCCCCAATTTTACTCTCAATGTCATTACGTCAGATTGAAGAAATCGTGGTTCTAGCAATTGTAATGATGACCTAGATTGGTAAAATGACCCCATCGGTAAAATCTCAACAAAAAATGTTTGACAAACTGGTACAAAGTTTTAAAATTAATGATTTGTATACCCAGAACGGGACACACTTTTCCTCAATCATAACCTCAATATTTTTTGTTTAACATTTAAAAGACAACTAACCCTTTTTAGTGAGTTAACCGAAAAGGAAAATATAAATATTTTCTTTAACGTCTTAATACTCTGAGAATTGAAGAAATTTAGTCTTTTGTTAAAATGTTATTCTAGATTTTGGAATTCCACAGGTTGTTCTTTCTTCTGAGATTTTACCTACACTCTGATGTTAAATGGGCAACCAATATGCACGAATTTTGGATGAAGATTGAAATTTGACAACAACTTTCTACTGGCAAACAGCTCTCCAAGTTCAATAATAATTTTTATGTGTTAGTAGCTCTTTATCAAGGAGAAAAAATTATTTCTGAATTAATCACAGTTCACAGGTATCCTCTGCAAATACCTTCTCTGCGCTTGAATGTGAAGTTCCTTTGAGGGCTGCTCATCAGATCAAACTGTGATAGAGTCATACCAGGAGAGAATGAGACAGCTTTCGCACTCTGCCATTGGTACTGCAGTTGGTGGGACGGGTAGGCATCTAAACATTGAAACATCAGTAGACAACTAACACGATGGGACATTTACGACACACGAGGGTTTCAATAATTGATTCTGGGGCTAAAGAAAACTGATATTAGTCTGTCCCAAACCAACACAGATCATCTAGTTTCATTGTACTTTCACTTTTAATTCATATTTGGGTAATGACCAGTTTTTTCTCGATCTTAATTGGAAATATTAATGATAAAATCTTGTAATGGTTTTAATATTATTGAAATATGTTTTACTTTTTAAATAAACTTAAATCTTTTGAATAAGGGTCATAACAGTCTTATTGATTAGTGTCCAGGGTTGGGCCAGAAGATTTATGGTAATCCCACTAAAGATCAAGTAATCACGAACCCTGTTGTCCTTTAAATAAAATCTTCAGATCCGTGCTTGTTTTTAGAGGGGTAGAGAACTCGGTGTGATGTATAAGTGAGACGGGGTTCAAAGCCAATATAGTAAACCAGTTAAGAAGATTTTAAAAAACGGGTTAGTAAAGACTTGGAATAGGTGGTCCCATTTTTAGAGCTGTGGCCTTTGGCCCATTATTTTTTACAATGGCACCATGCACCCGTGGTCCTAGAGCCAGCGTTTTAATGTGCTATTAAATTGGTTTTGTTTGAATTTCGTAGCAGTAGCATAACTTAGGTTCTTGACCCATGCTTAATGTTTTCTTGAAATAAATTTTGAATCCTTTAAAAATATTATTTTGGGAAATTTGACAGTTATCTTAAACTGTATCTTGTATCTTATATCTTATATTAGTATCTTAACTAATATAGGGAGGACTCAATTTCACAAGAATATACTTAAGACTAATGTTGTGTACAAACTTTGAATGAGTTTGAACCTGTTTAGTGTATTGTACCTCAAGACAATTTTAATATACTTAATATATTAGTTAGTTAGTAATCTTTTTTTAAATTTTGAGTTAAAAAATACATTGTATCCTTATTAATAAATAAATAATAATAATAATAAAACTCACAGCTTCCAAGAAGGAGAGGACAACTTTGCCAGTCCATAGGAAAACTCTGAAGCTGCATTGGACATGTTGCTTTTATCGTCAGTCTGAAAATAAACAGCATTTTACATTACAAGTTACAGGTTAATCTTGTTTGTGAAATGTTAAATAAACAACCACTCATACTTTAAAATCTCATTTTCTTAAAAAAATGGTAACGTTTACTATATTTTAACGTATTAGCTAAACTATAATTCGGTAAAAAGTAAATAAATATCTTTGGTGATTTTTTTACAAAACATTATTTAAAATTTTTTTTAATGAAAAGAGATGTGTTTGTAATGTTGGTTGAATCAAGAATATATAATTTCTTAAGCTTAAGACACAATTATAGCAACTTCTCCCCCCTCCTATTGACCTACTGCATTAGAACAATGATAATTCTTTATTTCTTCTTTTAAAAATGAATAATAAATAATTATTTATTTATAAGTTACTATAGCTGCTGTACCCGTGCTTTGCAACGGAGATGACACTGAAGAGGAAAATAAGACTTTTTAATCTGTTATATAAAATAGCTACACATCCGCCTTTGGTTTCAGAAACAAAATTCAATTGGACCTCTTAGTGTAAAAAATATCTTTCTTAAAAGCTAGGCTAACTTATAAGGCCACCTAGTACGAATTATTTGAGACGCTGATGCATGTATGAAAATACTGTACTCATGCGATTTTCAAATGAAACACTTACTTAAATGTTTATTTATTTGAAGAACTTTAATATAATGCCAATAAGGTAAAAAAGAATCGCACAACATAGGGTACTTGAGCAAAGCAAAAAAAACAGTCTATATAGACTGTTATTTGAATCAATAGGTATACCTATTGATTCACATAAAATTGATAAGTTTTACCCTAGGCTAACTACTGAACTTACGACAGGAATCTTTACCTACAGCTCACCATGTAAATATCACAGTAAATAAAAATAAAATAAACGGTATCAGCATTCTGACACATACTTTTCCCATAAGCTTGTCAACAACCTTTATCATGGGTAAGTGGTGAGAGTAAATATGATATTTTATAGATAAAAACAAAAAAAGTTGCAATAACTTGAACCTTAATTGTTACAGCAATGGGGTGTTTTTTTTTATTTTTTTATTATTAAGACCATAACATAGCTTTTCTCAAAAAATCCAATTTTTTGTTATTTATGTTTTTTTTTATAGGAAAATAACATAAGTGACAATAATTTGTTAACCATAATTTTGACGGAAATGGGATTTGTATCATTTTGTTCGGAATTTAAAGGACCATAACATACAAAATTTTGTAGAAAATCATGTGGGCCATTTTCGAGAAAATCCTATTTTTCCGTTATTTTACGGGGTTTTATGGGAAATTCTTATTAAAAATCTAAATTTAAAAATGAAGCCTCGGTGACAAAAAAGTAATTTAAGAAAGTTGTAGTGTTGGTGTCTAGGAACAGTTTAACAACGTCTAGGACGTTTTAGGCAAGTTGGGTGTCGGAAATATTTACCTAGTTAGATTCCCCAATGAGACAAAAAGTGGCCTACAGTGGGCTAACTTTTCTGAGTTCGTCAAAAACTCTTAACAGCTATTTTTCGTTTTGTTAATTTTTTTTTTCTATTCCATCTCCACTACCCCAGATTATCAAATCATACCTGATAACACTATCAAAAAGGTATTTACAGGAAACATGTCTTTTTAGATTTATCAACAAATGTACAACTCTGGACTATTTCTTATTTACAAAGTCGATATGCATACAGTCTTATTTTATACAAAGTAGCGTCAAACCATTTTCATAACATAATCATGAGCAAATTGATGGTTTACATGAATCTTTTTCATGGTCACCAATGGCCTCTGTGTTTTTTGAGAATTTAAAAACAATCCATTTACTGCAAACATTCCTCTTTATAAACAGAGTTGGCAACATTTTCCATACCATCTAAATTTCTATAGTGAACAAGTAACGAGGTGCCATCAGCAGAAATGGTTGACTTACAATTCTTACAAGCTAAATTGAAACTTATGTCATTAATTAAAATTAAAAACAATATGGGACCAATAACCGAACCCTGCGGCACCCCGACCTTTGACCTTGCTGTTTTTTTATCTCTTTCCATTATCCTCAACAATGGGGATGGATTGTCTATTTCTATTATTAACAGTCAAAGATATTAGTATAGATAAACCATTTTTACAATAATAAATACACAACCGTGATAACATGACACATGGCAGTTTGAACGTGGGAAAAATATGTATAATGGTAAGATAATGCGCTAAGCAAGATTGAAACTTGCTCTTTTTTAAACATTGTTCTCTTTTACTTGGAAATGAAACTTAAATTCAAACTTTAAATTTGGTAAAAGATACGACGATAAGGATTTATGTTTGGTTTTAGATCGATCTGTCATTTACAACAAAAAGATAGTAAATAGCTGAAGAAAAATAACAATCATAATATATGCTACATAATTCACAAGTAGATAACTAATGTTGACTTAAACTACCTATTGAATATATTCAATGCGTCTACTGGTCTACCTTAGAAAAGGTTCACCTAGACGTTTTGTAAACCTCAAAGTAGTCTATTTGGCCAACCACGCACCTCATTGAGTAAAGAATATCTCCGTGCTGAGTTATCCGCAGCAGTTTGTTGGGCACCGTGATGGTGTGCACGTACGATTGTTTGCCGTTGTAGAAGTATGTGTCAGGTCGCCAGATACGCTCCAGCATCTTGATGCTTAGACTGAGGTTCTCGATTGGTCCTTTGTAGCTGAGCCGAGAGTCCCTCCACGACTGACGAAAGTAGCAGTCCATCGAGTACTCCTGCAAAATCTTTATAATATTGTGACGTGTCGTTTAAAGTTATAAGAGGTGTTTCAAAGTTTTCAATTCCTATAATTTGTTTTACATTAATCTTGCATAAGATACAGCAAATGTAAGAGGATTCTATTTTCCTAGTTAATAAACTTGTATTCAAAATAAAAACAATTTAGATAGAGAAGTGAGTTCTTCCAAAACTTTGCTAGGTTCTTAGCTACATCAGTTCTTACTATAGTAATGGGAAAATTGTGCATCACATGAAACAAATTTGGAGAAAACCCTATGACGTCAATGGTATTATTGTTGATAATGGATGTGATGAAAATCTGTCAAGAACATATTACAATTAGTTCAATACCACTCTATTTTAGTTCAAAATCTTCAGCGAGTTTCAACAGATGATATAGCAATTATTTTTACTGCAAAGATGATTTAAATCTCAACTAGTTAATTGATATTGAATGCTTGTTCTTATAAAAATCAATATAAAGGCACAGTTTAAACCACTATCTTTAGTAATAATGAAATATATTTTGTTTTGTTAAAAACTTTTATTGTACTATTTCAAGTTGGGAAAATCAATAGTTTAAGAAAAATTTTCTAAATGCTGTAAATAACAGGCTTGTATAGTGTTTATGGTCACAAATTGTTAGTCCCGATCAAACTCACAAAACTATCAATAAACTACAATGATTCTAGTAACGTGTTAAAAGTCAGCAAGATGAAACCTAAACGTTTTCTCACCATATCAAGTTCCGAGACAGGACCCATGCTGCGGATCAGAATGTTGGTTTTGACAACAGTTGGTTCTCCTGAAAAAATAGAATTATACGGTGCTGAATGTGTAATACATATTTTTTCAAACAATTGAACTGTTTCTGTGTATAATAAGGTTTGTTGAAACAAACAATACATATGGTTTGGAAAATATATCCGTGATTGAGTAAGCATTCATTGTTCCATTGTTGTTTTATTGGAACTTGGTTTAGTATCTATATATTAGTAGGCAAGCATGTTTCTTTTAAACCTTTTTTCTCAGCTCGTGTGCATCGCAGAGAAAATTTACGCATACTGTTGAAAACAAATTTTCCTATATATGTGCAGAATCCCTTCATAAATTAAAATAGGCTAAAACATAAGCACAAAAAATGAATTAAAAATTCTAAAAAAATTTACATGGACCTTATGGGTTGCCATGCTGGTGAAAAATAACAACACAATATAAACATAAAATAAAAACAAACTGAAGAAAATCCAATCATATATTTGATTTACAGCCTAGAAAATAGAGAAGTCTGTACGTTAACTTACATATTTTTGATTGAGTTTCGACCACTCGACGACCTCTAGTAACTTTTTTTGTACACAAACAATAATAATGTTTATATATATATATATTAGATACTGTATCTTCTATCTATATATTAATAGGCAAGCATGTTTCTTTAAAACCTTTTTTCTCAGCTCGTGTGCATCGCTGGGAAAATCTACGCATACTGTTAGAATAGTATATTTCATTACTTACTTACTTACTTACTTACTTCCGCAGCTCTACAGGCCTTGGTGGCCTTTGGCTTCTGCTACAATTCGCCTCCAATCGCCTCGATCTTGCGCCATCTCTTTCCAATTCCTCACTCTCAACATCCTCAGGTCCTCCACCTCATCAAGCCATCTTCTTCTCGGCCTACCCCTTCTCCTAGTCCCTTCCATGTTCTGGCACAATAGTTCTTTGGGCTGTCTTCCTTGAGGCATTCGCTCCACATGGCCTAACCAACCGATCCTTCTTGCTTTGATGAAGTGCACAATATCCTCCCCTTGCAAAATGTCGTTTATTTCAGCATTCTTCAATATCCTCCATCTATCCCCTTCCTTCACCGCTCCATGTATTCTTCTTATTATTTTCCTTTCGAACACTCTCAGTGCGTTTGTGTTCACTGCAGATAGGGACCAGGTTTCTGCACCGTACGTAACAACCGGCCTAATGAGAGTCTTGTACAGCTTCATCTTTGTGTTGCGGGTCACCAGCTTGGATTTGAGGATCCCAAGGTTAGCATAATATGCCCTGTTCATTACTATATGTATATTTCATTACTAGGACCGAAAGTGGCATTTTCCGTTGCGCGCTCAAGTTTTTGTGTGAGGCGAAGCCGAACACAGGGAACCCCAATTTCACGTGCGAGGCGAAGCCGAGTATGTGAGAGCTATTTTCACGTACGAGGCGAAGCCGAGGACGAGAATAATGGAGCAAGTGCCGGATAGTAACTTTCGGTACGAGTTATGAACGATACTTTTCATCACGACGCAAAAATACACAAACACAGAATAGCAGACCTCAGTAATATTAAAACTATTTTATTTCTCAATTAATTTGATTGAACATCAAAATAAAATAAAATCTTCTAAAAAGAAACCTACGTATATTTCTCAATAAATTTTGTTTAAACATCAAAATAAAAGAATAACACAACTTTTAAAAATACATACAGCTGATTAAAATCATTAAATTAAACCGTAACAAAACACTAGCGCGCGTAGTGAATAAATGGAGAACTAATTGAGAGCGAGGGAAAGTAAATTTAGAGCGAGGGAAAATCAGCTGATCGATTTTCCCTCGCCCTAAATTAGAGCTTGGGAAACGACTACTTTCATTGATGTCAGCTGTTATCGAAAATAGTTACTTTCGTTAAGGAGTGATAAAAAGATATTTTCCTGTAGATGTGCAGATAGCCTTTTTACACAAATAAACAAAATACAATTATGTCCTTGGAACAAATTTCACAGCACAGTCAATGTGCAAAAATAGAAAACTGATGTTTGTTTTGTAGCATTTTTAGAAAATAACAACATTTATACTATAAGAGGTAAGCTTTAACAAAAATAACCTTGCTGTAGCATCAGAATGTATTGCGATGAGTTTCTTCGGTTGCAATCTGAATCTACCAAGGAATGGATTCAGTCAAGAAGTGAATGGCACAGAAGCAGATAATCTGATCTCAATATACAGTTGAATATCATCCAAGTATGCCAGACGTGTATTGGGTTCCTCAACGTACGCTTTCAACTAACAAATTGTTATGGCTTTTAAAGTAAAAACAACTTTACAAGTAATAAAATAATACGTTGGTTTTCTGAATACTCCATACTGAACTAACTTTTTAAAATTCACTTGGGTTTTGGGTTTTACAATTTATAAACATACATACTTATTTAGTATATCTAAAATAAGGTTCTTACTGTTAATTAATTAAATAAAGGAAATTAAAAATTACTAGGGGACTCGTGCGCAAATTGTGAATTTTAATAGTGTTCGATTTAGAGGCAAAACTATTAATGCGATACGCTTTTACCTGATTAAACCTACTGATTTACGATGATTTTTTTTCTTTTAGACTACAATGTGAAGAGTATTTACCTACCTCGATCTGGTTACAGTCATCAAAAATTATCATATTTAAAATCCATTTGCATAAACGGTTTTGTCTCCTGTTTGCCTATCCTTAAACATTCAACAGAAAGATCAACTGTGTGATTTAAATTAACAAGTAAAACCTTTATAAAGAAAGTTAGTCAGCACCCCTGAATCTATAAAACCGACTTTAAAAAACAAATTGAGAGGGGCGAAGCCCTAAATTAAATCACCTTTTTAATTTACCATTCGTCGTCCCTCTGCTGTATCATTAACTTTACAATGGCACCTCAACGGCACCTCAATTGTAAAAATCTGTTAAATGGGATGGCTGAAAAATAAATGTAACACAGAAAACGAATGTAGCCTACATAGATAGATTAATCTTCAGTCTATAACAGATAAATTTCGTTTGCACTTAAATCATGCAAAAATGGAAGAACAGCTTGTAGGCCCTATGTTATAGCAACCTTTTAAGCTCCCATCAACTATGACAGTATGAATAAAAGATAAACTGGCATTTCAATTGTATCACACCCTCATAGACTTAATTTATAACAATGTTTATTTATTAACTCACTTCTCATTATCACTCATGAAAATCACTAGAACAGTTTATTCTATGTTATAATTTAGTTACAATTCTTGTTAAAGTAACATTAGAATTCAATTTAGTTTCTAACTTAAAGAAAGCAACTATATACTCAAGTCTACGATGTCAAAGTCGTCTTGTATATTGAGTGAAAGAGTCAAAGTTTCTTCCAAGAGTTATATGGACAGGAATACTAATATTCTCCACTCGTCACATTCATTACTTCACCAACATTCATCACCTAACAGTGTTCATTGTCGTTGAGTATATACAGTTAATTATGTATTAACCTAAAAATTTTGTGTATAAAAAGAGAAAAGAAACGTTGATACTAAAACTCGAATAATACAAAACCATTATCGCCTATCTATTAATTTATCACTCTAAAGTATTTAAGTGGAATTTCATGTTTAAAAATTAATATGTTAAACTATATGAAATGTGAAGTATCCGGACAGCGCTGCTACATGACAAGAATTCTCGCGTGCTTTAAGAGTTTTCCCGCGTCTGTTGCAGCTGACCACATGTTTGCTTCTCATTCCTCTCTTGGTGCAACATTTTCAACATATTATAGGAAAACAACACATCAGGTTGATCCAAATGTTGTAGAGAGCGTTATTGAGTTATATATTCAATGAATCTAATCGATAATTTAAAGTGATAAGTTATTATTACAATCCACGATTATAATGGGAACGCAGCTATATTTGACGCAAATAGAACTGGCGGGAGAAGGTAATGTTTTTAAATAGGCCAGCTAGTATTAATCAACCGCCAGTTCTATTTGAGTTAACCATTTACTCTAAGCCAAATATGAATAAAGGGTGGGTGTAGGAAGGAGTGTGATGTCTTGTGTAGCTTTGTCACTAAGTCCAGCTGTTACAAGTCAGGACCTTTTTTATTGAGTGAAAGCTTTTATTATAAGCACAATGATTACACAGCTGGACATAGTTTCGAACAATTAGACCTCCAAGGCTACTGCGGAGAACAAAAACTGTATAGGTTAGGTTAAGTTAGGTTAGATTAGGTTAGTTTAGGACAGGTTAGGATGACGTCATGTAAACCAGGACATTCCTTCTGCCGGCAACTCACCCCTACCTGGCTTGGACTTGGGCGCAACTAAGGAACATTTTTTGGGACCCTCAAAGAGACTTCATCAGTGTTAGCGATATTGGATTTTAGAGTCACATAAAAGCAATGTTAACATTGTATCAGAATTTAAAAAAAAACTTCTTGTGATAAAACAATGATTCCTGATTTCCTAGTATACCAAGTTATAAACCTAATTATACATTTTCAAAACTTCTTTATAAATAACACCAACATGCTGCTTCAAATGATGTTCTGTCAAATTAAACATTGCTCTTATGGGAATAAAATCCAATATGGCTGCAACTGATGAAGACTAATAATCGAATAATCTAATAATAGAACCGGCAGTGACAGTTTGAACACCAGGCGAACAAAGACCTCTCAACTACTCAGCCATAAGTGTAAAGTGTACTACTGTATAGGATATTCTTGTTTATACATTGTCATAAACATATACTTTCGGGATTAATTCCTAATACTCTTATATAAGTTTGAAAATTATATAAATAGATTCCGACACATAATCTGTCTAAGGTGACAAACTTAGTCGAATTATAGGAAAAGTGTACGTGATGCAATACTTTGTCCCCGAGGATCGTTCTATGATACGTGCTCATCTTCTTACACCATAACTAACGGGGTATTTTCATGATTCCCCATGAGGCGTTACGGATCGCTTGAAAGCTTTATTTTGTTCTTTGTTTTACTACCTTCACTTTCAGATCATTAAAACTTCTGCCGACTCATTTCTCCCAGTTGACCAACAACACTAATAAAAATACAACAATCATGGTGCGACGTGATTGATTGCAAAAACTATTTTTAACTTGCACGCAGTACTTGACATTGTAAATATATGGGACATACTTTTATTTTAGTCTATATCTACTTTATCTCTTATTTTATCAGCTAGGGTGATGTTGTTTTTCTTTAAATTTATATTTTTTGTATTGTTGTCATAAAATAAATGTAATTATCTGGTTTCTTTTGCTATTCGCAACGGGACAAAACGCAGAAGAGTACCTATAACAAAATTACACGACCAGCATTGACTTGAAATAAAACCAGTACAGTTGTACCTCCTTTAGTTCAATAGTCTGTGTGACAGAATAATCTAAATATTTTATTGAAAAGTAAACAAATGAATTGTAAATTATTCAAGTGTAAACAATAAACAAGTATTATGTAACAAAATAATGCAATTATCTGGAAATCTATAAGTATAAAAGAGGATGTTTGTATATATATATATTTAGCAGTGATAAACTCAGACACCGCTGAACCGATTGCCACGAAACTTGGTACATACGTGTAGAATTTCATGGAATAGGTTTATACACCATCAATTTCGTGATCCGTCCAATCGGCTCCGCCCCAGTGGCTCTGAAGTTTCCCATGTTAACCTTATGAGAAATGGAATTAATGAATCTTAACAGCTGTTTCAATTAAACAAGTTGGTTCTGTTCTATGATGTTCAATAGCATTAAAGTTACAAGGATTACCAACAGGGTGCAGCACTATTATTTCTTTTACATTTATGACAACAGCTAATTTGCAACCAAAAGGTGAGTGAGCATAGCGAACGAACTTCAACCTGGAGGCGAGTTAGCGTAGTGAACGAGCTAACCTGAAGGCAAGTGATCGTAGCGAACGAGCTAACCTGAAGGAAAGTGAGCGCGGCGAACGAGCTCCAACCTAAAGGTGAGTGAGCGTAGCGAACGAACTTCAACCAGGACGTGATTGAGCCATGCGAACGAGATCATCTTGAAAATTAAGAAGTTAAACGGGGCAAAGCCCGCGGGTTACAGCTAGTTGCCTGTAAATACACAGTATTTGTTATCACATTCAACATAATGTTTATTAATAACCGATATTCAAAACTACAACAAAAACAAATAAAAAACAGTTTTTAACAAACGTACCGGATCCGCGGCTGTAGTTAGAGTAGACACGACAACAGTGAAATGAGCGGATTTATTGAGTGGGAATTCCTGATCTAGAGCGTAAATGAGCTATTTTGCCTTCTGTTTACAGGTGTGGCAATGTGATCATGCAGTGGCAGAAAAAACAATAAGTTTTATGACTGTAAATGATCATTGTTCTAAGACCATAAACAATGGAATAAAATGTAAAAATGTATCTAAATAATTCTTTAGATTCAAACATTATAAAGTTATTGTTTTATGAAATGTTCAATAATTTTTATTTTGAAATATTCAAATATTTTAGCCAGTGAACATTAAGGAGGATAGTTGTACTTTTTCTGTTTGGTTATGAAAAGGATACGTTTACCTCGAAAATTGAGATCCAACATCAAAGTGAAGCCACGAGTCAATAGGTGACATATGACGGCATCTTATTTGTTATTATGATGTCTTTACGATGACATGGCATGGCTTGATATCAGAGAGGATATTAGTACAGTTTCGTGAATATACAGATAACTAAATAAACTATAAGTAGTAAATATTAAATATTATACAATACTATTATACAATATTTTTAGTTAAAATATTTTAAATATTGATTTCATGACAATTTACCGGGACCTTAATGTTGCTCTAACAGCCCAAACTCCCCCATTCGAGGGAGCGAGCTAATCTAGTGGTAGAGCGCGGGACTTCGGTTCCCGAGGTCCCGGGTTCAAATCCCGCCAATCACCAATGGATTTTATGATACCCTGACCCCATCTAGACTTGATCTGAAGTAATGTGGAAAACTATCCCGTGGACTAGAACATAGAGAAATGAAAATCTGAATGCCCAATTGTTTCAGTTTGACCATTGACTAAATCTACTCTTCAATGGGTTGACTTAATCCCTCAGCCGCCTCCAGCTTTGGCGCGGAGTTATAGAGGTCGCCAAAAATATATAATGTCAAACTTCCCTATTTTCACCCCACGTTGTAATTAAAACAGGTTTGATTTTCTGTTTATATTTAGTTGTTATTTCGTCACAAGCATGGCAACACATAAAGCCTTTGTTAATTTATTTAATTTTAAAATAAAATTTTCGTGTTTATTTTTGAGCTTATTTAAAATTATAAACATATTATGCACATCTACTTAAAAATATCTTTCTAACAGTATGCGTAGATTTTCCCTGCGATGCACACGAGCTGAGAAAAAAGGCTTTAAAGAAATATGCTTGCATATTAATATATAGATATTCTTTAATCAAAGAATATAGGCCTAAATTAGTACTAACCTATTTAGATTTGATAAAATGACTAAGAATACTTTCATATTATTTGTTCATTTTTAATAATGGTGAGGTAATGTTCTGCAAGAGATAATTGGGTAATTGATATCAAGATAAGTGAAAGACACTGTTTTCTTGTCGTATTCACGACGTTTCGGGATCTTGTGATCTACCGGCATCAGGTGATTTAGTACCTCAAGATTTTTACACAAACCAGGCCGAAGATGGAAAGTCACAATGGGAAAAAGCCACACAGATAACTGTATAGTATTGAAACTAAAAACCTTGAAAAATAGTAATTAGTAGTAACTGAGGTTTGTTATGTTTTAGTACCAGGGATTTACTTTTTCACCTGAGGACGGTACTGATTATCAGACCACGAAATGTAGTGAAAATCTTCCGACGATTACAACATCTTTTCCTCATCGTGATGGAAAATATTTGCAATATTACCTCAAATAACAATATTTTTGTAGCTTTGTTGTTTCTTTTTACACATCGAATATTTATTTGTCCATTCAGACGTGTTCAATGTAAACACGACTCCTCTAAGACGCAATTGTGTAATGTGTGTTGTATGTCATTACGGCCAAGTTTAGCGCGCGTTGGCAGTGAAATCCAAAACTGCAAACTCTGAAGCCTTCACCACAAAATGGACTTTACTCTCCAAACTTTTGCCCTTGTTTCGGCAGAGCTTTATCGAACTTGGGGATCCTAAGCTTATAAAGATACGTTATTGAAATATCAGGATGTGTAAAGTGGACCATAAGGTTTTGTATGTTAGAAGTACGTTAATGTTTTTCAATCTCCATACATCAACATCATTTATATACTTTTCACTTTCTCATAAATCATTAAATGAAGAAGAATATTGTGGAAATAGAATCAAGCTTTTATTCCATTATGGGCTGTTGTCTACACTGTAAAATTAATAGATTAGAAGAAATTTAAAAATGGGTTCTCTTATTCCATCAAGATATGTGTAAATATTTATGGTTATTTTAGAGTAATTTTACGTTTTTGAAGTGTCAATGGCTAATTATGACCAATGCTCAATTTTATAATGTCGTATGAAAAATGAATAAAGACGTTATATAACGGACTACCGTACCATTGAAGTAAATATATTATATTTACTTCGATGTACCGTGCCAACAAGGCTGGTTAGTTGGAATCCTAAGAGTAGTTCAAAGTTGACTTCCAAATTATGTCAAATATATCCTTCTAAAATTCCTTTTACGGGGAGCGTAGTCTAATGGAAGAGCGCGGGACTTTGGTCCCTGAGGTCTCGGTTTCAAATCCCGCCATACACCAATGGATTTTATCCAAGTGATAATGCCGTGACCCCCTCAAGTAGACTTAGCCTGAAGTAGGCCTGACGTGGAAAAGATTCCGGGCTAGAGCCTTGAGGCATTTAATAGTGCACCCCCTCAACTAGATTTAGCCTAAAATTATGTCGAAATATTCCGTGTTAGAACCTGGAGGAATAAAACACCCTAAACGGTCAAGTAAGGGTAAAAGTAAACTATACCTTTCCCATGATTTGGCAGTTCAGAACGCTCGTAGTTCTTCAGCAGATTCTCCAGAAGGTGGGAGATATTTCTGGAGAAGTCGCTATCGGCATGTCAGAGTATTCTGCGGTAGACGGTTGTGCCTCGGTCGATCCTGGGGGCTTCGCCCTCGCGGCCCGCGGGCCTCTGGGTCATCAAAAGGTTCTGGAGGCGACTGTTGGTCCAGACTGCGGCCTCGGAGTCATTGCCTCGGTACACGTGTTGGATCACTAGACGAGACGCGTCGAAGCTGGAAACTGCTTCGTTCCTGTTGACGAGAATAATTACTTTACATTACCTCATTATAATTTGGTAAAATACCTTCTTGTTATTTTACTATATTTTTCCATATTACCCTGGTTCTTAAGGGTTGGCCTTTGGTTTAAGACCCGGGCTAGTCCTAAGTAGATGTAGGGTCAGTTTTTGTCATTTGGATGATAAAAAAGCACATCTTGAGGTCATCGACGGTTATGACACGTTAACCGCGATGTATATCGCCTTCCATCGGCGCCGCATGGTCAGCGAATTGTCGACAAGTGTTAAATGTTGCGTTTCGTGTGTTTTTTTAGTTTAAAACTTCCAACCATCCAAAACGCATATTATTACATGGCTTGGGTATGCTAAGACTATCTTCATATTCACTACCGGGTGTCTGCAAACTACTTATACGGATAAAAAAATAATAATCCGCAAAAAACTGGCTACTATTTTAATATCAAGCAACAATTACCCTCCGTGAAATAATTCAGAAATAAGTTGGGAGCGTAAAATGAGACTTGTCTGAAGACTGATTACTTTAAGGTAGAATTAGCTCAACAGAGTTCCGCTTTTAGAATACCAACTACGTCGTGTTAAAGGCGTTGTTAAGGTAATACCATCGATATAACTACTACGGTAATACCAGTAGGTCTACTATGCTTTTCGAAGATTTTATGATACAGTACATAAAATATTTCCTCTGTTTTCAATGTTTTGATATCAAAATCATCTAGCAAAGTGGTTTACACATTTACAAGTTCAAATTAAAGATTTGACATTAGGTATCCTAAAGAAAAAATGATTGTGATTAAAATTAGATAGATAAATGGATAACTTATTATATAGATAATAGATATAGATAGATAGATAATAGACATAGATAGATAGATAGATAGATAGATAATAGATAATAGATATAGATAATAGATAGATTACTATAGATTACAACTTAGATAGACAATCTAGATTCAAAATGGGATTTTCTACGATATCTACAGTTACCTAAAAAATCAATGTAAGAATATTAAAATGCAAATATAAGACTCACCAAAACAAAAATTATCAAAATATTTTAATTTTAATCATAATTCCTAGTCTTCGTTGATAGTTTTTCAGTGTGTTCTTTTCGAGATACAATTGAAATTAAGTTGAAAATAAAATATCAGAGGGAGATGTTACCAATCGGTTCATAATTATATTTTCGTGTTTCTGCGTTCAACAACAATACAGGACAAGAATTAACACGATCAGTTTCATTGTCACACGAATAATGGTTTAGGTTAACAGTATTATCATTGACTATTGGATACTATTATATAAAATAAACGAGCTCGATTTCGATCCTTGTCTTTTATTTTAGTCAAAAACTATCCTATAACACATCCATGATTTTTAACCTGAAGAATAAGTCTAGTTCTTAACATAAAACACCCTCATTTAAATAGGGGTACAGGTCCGCAGAAAACCTGCGATATATTATTGGGTTGAATATCGATATCTAGCAATTATAATTCGTTTTGATACATAGATTATAAAATATTTTCCCCCATGTAAACATCAAATTGAGCTATGTTTACGTTTTTATTAGTGTTAAATAGATGTAAAATTCGTATCCATCGAGAAAGTTAATGACCAGTTAACGTTTTTATTGTTGTTTAATAAATGTAACTAACTTAAGTTATCCATAAGCTATTCAATCAACAACAGAATGTAATGACTGAAAAACCAATGTTTGTAAATATAGTCATTAATTAAAATCCAAACTAAATCTTGTTTATATTTTAAATATTTATTCATGTTTCTCTTGTGAAAATATTGTAAAAATGTATTTGCCTAGATATCCCCAAATTTACTAATATTTAGTTTTACTAATATTAACACATGTTATGTGTTAATATTAGTAAAACCGTATTGTCTCGAAATATCTACAATTTATACCGGTAATCAAAATTTATTCATTGGCTTATCAAAATTATTATTCCAAACAACTTCTACAATTAAATACCATGCATCTGGGTTCAAGATTACAAACACATTTCAACACATGTTTTAAATATGTGAACCCCATATAACTGAAGAAATGATGAAAACAATGAACAGTGAAGAAAAGGTTTACATCAAGAACAGATCAACAGCAATTATATAGCTGTGCTAAATTAAATTGAGAAATCTATATCTATATACTTATTTAATACGCAAGCAGGATTTTTGTGACAATTACTCCTCCGAAACTACTGAACCGATTGACATGTTTTTGGTGTCATTGGAAAGAGCGTAACGTGAAGTTGTGCAGGAAACTTTCTTTTTAGGTAAATAATTAGAGAGTGAGGCCCTGGGGCACTTTAAAGTTTCGTATTTCTCCATAAGATTAACATGGGAAACAAACATTGTTTTGAAACTCCAGCTGTTGTCAGAAATTAAATATTAATAATTGGTCTCCATGGAAGCATGAGAAAATTCGCCCGGTGGGACACACGGGAGGGACTAAGGCTAACATATCTTGTAGTGTCAGCGTCCGCCGCTAGAACCGCCGTTGAAATTTTTTTTTATTTTTAGTTATAAAATTAACTGTTTAACTATAAAATATTGTTTTAAAATTATAAAATAAATTTTTAATTTTTAAAATAAAACTGTCATAACATAACCTAACCAACCAGACTTGCTGATAATATAAAAACTGTATAAGATAAAAATCTAATTAATGATTACTTATAATTTTTAATTAATTATAAAATTGATTTTAAAATTTTGTATTATAAAATTAAACCATCATAACCTAACCTAACCAACCAAACTTGCTGATATGAAAAAATTGTTGACAAAAAGTTAGTGCTACCAGCGGGATTTGAACCCGGGACCTCCTGAACACAAAATTGAAGCGCTATTAAATATGCCACGAACGCCGCTGACAGCACAGTTTCGTTACGGTAATCGTGTTGCCTTAAGAGTTGTAGCATAGATTAAACAAAACATAATGTTTAATCTATGGTTGTAGACATTAGCCACTAGAGATATGACGTCACTACACCTTTAGCCTTAGTCCCTCCCGTGTGCCCATTCCAAAATCCACCATGTTTATATTTGCTTTGACATTTAAATGTAAACAACCAGAACTGTCAAATGCCTATTTTACAATTTCAGACAGCTGATCCAGAATAAAATAACTATGTGGTAGGTTTATTTAATCTTAAACTTTATGATAGATTATTTATTATAAATCTCTTTTCAATGATTATGAAACAGATTTTTCCCGTTGCGAAGCAAAATTAAAATTGAGAAGAAGAACACATGTTAATTGTAAACAGTCAATGTGTAAATTAAAGATGTGCATAGTTTTGGATGTTGGTTTGTGTTTAATGATATAAATTATAAAATTTTTATTTTAAGGATTTGGCATATGAGTAAGCATGTGATAAATAACACCATTTCAGAGTTCTGCCAGTTTTTGAGTAGAGTTTAAAGTAGCCTACACCTTATTGTCTACAAATTGGCTAAATAACTTAGGTACGGTCATTTATAAAATTTGACAGCCTTTTTACGTAGACTTAAATTGTAAGCTTACCTTTTCCCGTCCATTGGCAGATTGATTGTTATAAATTAACTCTTTAAACTGGAATAGGATTGTTATGTAAATTGTGAGTATTTCCATTAGTTGACTACTAAAATTTACCTATTTAGTTCACTCTTTTAAAATCATCGGAAGTTATGACTGTTATTAGTTTCTAAACAAGTTATTCGTTTATAAATAACTCCTGTACTTCTTTGCAATTGCTCGATTTCGAGCAACATGTACACTAGTAATTTAGATTATAAAATAAAGGGTTGTCTAATATCGAAATTAATTGAAGAAAGAAGAATTAAATTACACTATCCTGAAGACAAATTGCCTACAGTATTGAAGGTTGGATAGTAGTACGTTTTCTGTGACTATACCTACCTACATTTAATTAACACCAACCAAAGGAAAGAAAAAATAATCAGAATCAAAATCTTACTAAATTATTGTTTCCAAATTATTATTTAATTTACAATTTACTTATTGAATGTTATATAAGGCTTAAAAGAAATCTTTTGATTCACAGTCTACACGAATCCCCACCCCCTGAAGAATTTTGTAGCTTTAGTTTTAATAATTTTTGTACCATTAAACATTGTATTTTAAAACATCTGTCCCTCATCAATTTTACTATATAACAATAGCATATTTAGAGGTTTATTTCAAAAACAATTATGAATGTTATAAAAAAAACCCAAAACTTGTTCATGTTAAAATGTTTATTGACATATATTACGACTACTTAAAATCACCCAGCTTGAAACTATGTTTATTTTTGCATCACCTAGCTGTCTGTCAAAGGCGCCGATTCCAAATCACATTTAAAACGAATGCTCAAAGGCCGCTCTCCTAAATAGGTTTTCCAGGGGACATTTTGCAAACAGGAATACAACACGTGTGTAAAATGGTGGGATGGAAATAGATTGCAGATACTTATTTGTTGAAATGTTGATTACAGTTTGGCTATCGAACAATGCAAATTGATTTTAGATTCAAATAAATTAAAATAATAAAATAATATTTTATTTTTATGGCATTATCTTGTGCATTAGGAAGTTAGATGAAAAATGTAAAAAACAAAAGTAAACAACTATTAAACTAGTTTACCATTTCTTATCTTCCTTATACTCGTTCATAGAAAGTATTAAGTTGATGTTGATTTCGACACTATGATCAATTTTCACATAGAACACTTTTCAATACCTAAGGCATATTAAAAGTTGTTCCTCAAATACGTTTGACCTTGCTGTGTAAAGTTGAGGCTTGTAGAGTATTTTGGTAGACGCTTTACACTTCATTCATTGCTTCACTGCATTTAATTCATAACTAGACTATTATGACCTTAAGTTATATAAAGTATCTTCAAAAGGTGAATTTTACAACTTATTGACATTTTACCTTAAATTGTTTACGGAAAAAACCACAGAGTAATTCGAACAAATATACAAATAGATTAGGCATTTGTTTTACAATCGGAGACTGGGCCTGATGATGACCGGCGACACTGGTCGAAACGTGTCATAACATAACTGTTTTTATTAAATCGTTTTCTTGCAAATTTTGATACTTCCCGATGAGCTAGAGACTTGAAATTTGAAACATAGCTCATAAATGGATGACAATGCGATAATATATCATTTAATTTTCATATTTCCCTTGGACTACGCCCCAAGGGCTTGTTTTTAACTAGCTCACTTTCCTACAAATTTTGATATCAATTTTAAACGAAGTTCCCGATGAGCTAGAGACTTTAAACTTGAAACATAGCTCACAAATGGATGACAATGCAATATTATATAATTTAACTTTCATATTTCCCTTGGGCTACGCCCCTGTGGCTTCCAAATTTTCCATGTTTACATTTTAAAAGAATGTAAACATATAAATTAATTGAGCGGAGCGAGCGAAGCGAGCGAAGCTCTTATACGTCGACTCTTATGCATTTCGTAATACGCAAACTCCTCCTAGACGGCTGAATCAATAGTTTTCAAATTTTTCATGGTGATAAAGACCATATCGGTGAGTGCCAACATCTATATGGCGTTAAAAAAGTCTCTCAGGAATCCGCCCCACTGGGTCTCAAAGTTTCAATGTAATCCTTATGGAAGCAGTATTTGACACATAAACAAAAACATATGATCAGCTGTTGACTTTTGAATGCAGTAGATAAAGAAATAGCTGATAGCATTAATCCACAGATATTAGAACAGAAACGGTATGGATCATAAATATAATCAAATGACGACACTGGCTTGAGGTCTATGGCGTAGGAAGTGGTAAAGGAAGTAGTAAAGGTGAGCAGCCTGGAGTGTAGAAACGGAAACTGTTTATGACGATTAGATTTAGGTATCTGCATTCCTAAAATTCTATGGGAAGGGAGGAAAACGGGTCCGCGACGTAGGAAGTGGTGAAGGAAGTAGTAAAGGCGAGCTGTCCGGAATGTGGGAACTGTTTATGACGATTAGATTAAAATATCTGCATTCCTAAAATTCAATAGGAAGGGAGGAAAACGGGTCCGCGACGTAGGAAGTGGTAAAGGAAGTAGTCAAGGCAAGCTGTCCGGGGTGTAGGAACTGTTTATGACGATTAGATTAAAGTATCTACAAACCTATTATGCTATGGGAAGGGAGGAAAACAGGTCCGTGACGTAGGAAGTGGTGATGGAAGTAGTCAAGGCGAGCTTACCGGAGTGTGGAAACCGTTTTTGACGACTAGATTAAGGTATCTACAAACCTAAAATGCTATGGGAAGGGAGGAAAACAGGTCCGTGACGTAGGAAGTGGTGAAGGTAGTAGTAAAGGCGAGTTGTCCGGAGTGTGGGATCTGTTTATGACCAATAGATTAAGGTATTTTTAATCCAATAATGCCAAGGGAAGGGAGGTATACAGGTCTATGACGTAGGAAGTGGTAAGGGAAATAGTCAAGGCGAGCTGTCCGGAGTGTGGGAACCGTTTATGACGATTAGATTTAGGTATCTGCATTACTAAAATTTTATGGAATGGGAGGAAAACGGGTCCGCGACGTAGGAAGTAGTGAAGGAAATAGTCAAGGCGAGCTGTCCGGAGTGTGGGAACTGTTTATGACGATTAGATTAAGGTATCTGCATTCCTAAAATTCTATGGGTAGGGAGGAAAACGGGTTCGCGACGAAGGAATTGGTGAAAGAAGTAGTCAAGGCGAGCTTTCCGGAGTGTGGAAACCGTTTTTGACGATTAGATTAAGGTAAACCTAAAATGCTATGGGAAGGGAGGAAAACTGGTCCGTGACGTAGGAAGTGGTGAATGTAGTAGTAAAGGCGAGTTTTTTTCGGAGTGTGGGAACTGTTTATTACGATTAGATTAAGATATCTGTAATCCAAAAATGCTACGGAAAGGGAGGGAAACAGGTCCGTGACGTAGGAAGTGGTGAAGGAAGTAGTCAAGGCGGAGTGTGGGAACTGTTTATGACGATTAGATTAAGGTATCTACAATCTTAAAATTCTATGGGAAGAGAGGGAAACAGGCCCGCGACGTAAGAAGAGGTGAAGGAAGTAGTAAGGTGAGAAGTGTGGAGTGTGGGAACTGGAAACCGTTTGTAGCAGTTAGATTAATGTATCTGCAATGCTGAAATGCTATGAGAAGGGATGGAAGCATGCCCACGACATAGAAAATGGTGAAAGAAATAGTAAAGGCTAGCAGTGCGGAGTGTGGGCAATGTTTGTGGCAATTAGATTAACGTATCTAAAATACTAAAATGCTATGGAAAGTGATGAAAACAGGTCCATGACGTAGGAAATGGTGAAGGAAGTAGTAAGGCTTGCAGTGCAGAGTGTGGGAACTGTCTTTGGCAATTACATTAATGTATCTGCAATCCTAAAATGCTATGGGAAGAGAGGGAAACAGGTCCACGACATAGGGGGTGGTGAAGGAAGTAGTAAAGGTGAGCAGTGTTGAGTGTGGGAATGGATTAATGTATCTGCGATGCTAAAATGCTATGGGTAGAGACTGTAGACTGTAGGTTAAAATGATTACGAAGCACGAATCGATACATATTTCGATACATGCAAACGTTTACAATAGAAATTTACAACTGAGTTGACAACAGCTGATTTTTACTCCCTAAAGAGTAAAAATGCTACTTTAGACCCGCAACGCATGCATTTAAAACGACTGTTTTTACTGCAGTATGACAAAAACAACATAATATGAACCCTTGATGACTCCGCTCAATTTTGTGGATGCCCCTGCAAACGCCACCTAGTTTAAGTCAGCTGTATTTGACAGTTAGAAGAGCAGAGGTTAAGAGAAATAGGTTCTGCTCCCGAGATAGTCTAAAAATATAAAACAATCATTTCAAAGTAAAGATAAAACATCTGATTACAGATAATAAGGTTTTTTGTTTTGGTTATGCATTAAGAGGCTATATAAAATAGATTTAACATATTTCCACATTAAAGACTAAAAACTAGATAGTAATTTATAAATAAAAATACTTTTTAAAAATAACACGTTTTTAAACGCACTAAAAAGTATAAAATAATTTATAAAATGTTGAGAAAATAAATACTTGTAAGATTTAAAACGAAAAACGTGGGGCGCGTGCAATAGATCATAATAGTTCAATAGGCGAAGTTAATTGTAAATCAGCATGCGCTCCACGTTTTTCGTTTGAAATCTTACAAGTATTTATTTTCTCAACATTTTATAAATTATTTTATACTTTTTAGTGCGTTTAAAAACGTGTTATTTTTAAAAAAGTATTTTTATTTATAAATTATTTGCAGTGTATTTGAAATAAGTCAGCTGAGTCAGCAATCGAATATTCCTATAATCTTTTAGAATGTAGATGCAATTTAAAAACTGGTTTATGCTTTGCATTTCCTCTCCTAGCTCAATTAGCAGCTACAGGATACAAAATATGTACATCAACTCCGAAACAAGTAACAATACAGAATAAAGTCGTAAAAACGTGTTCAAATTCAATTTTCATTGTAGAAGTCATATAATTTCCATAAGGAATATAATTAAAAAATATAATTAAATAAAGTTGTGGTTATTTTTGAAAAAGTAGAATTATATTTTATTGCCATATATGGCTAATAGTTGAAGTCCTCCTTTTAATTCTTTCTCTAAATCTTATAGTTTCTGATATATCAATAAGTGACACAGTTCAGTCCATTATCTACCCTGTATGACATCCTTAACAACTTCCAGCTTAACTTGACATTAATGTAAAGGACAACACATCTACATTACGGCCTACATGTTAACTAAGGGTGGATGCAAAGACATGTAAGCTAATGAGTAGGGGAGGGGGGGGGCACTTACCCCAACCATTGTAGAGTCAGCAATAAAATAAGTGGCCTCATCCGCCCCGCACTGTGAATCTGCAATAAGAAATTACTATATTACCAACTTACTATTTTACTATTTTACCATTTTAATGTTTTACCATTTTACTATATTACCAACATTGGGGGGTGTAACTACGCGTATTTAACCCATATATCAATGGGGAATCAGATAATAATATGGAGTGAGACGCCTTGTTGCTAAGATTAGCTATTTCTTTAGCGGGATGCATTTATCGACAGTCTTAAATAGGGAGTGAGCAGGTTTAGTAAATTGTGAGACTTCGGTAACCAAGGTATCGGGTTCAAATCATGCCAATCACCAATCAAGTTTATCTAAGTGATAATACCGCAACCCTTAGTCCTAGGCTGAAGTGATGTAAAACGATACCACGAAAGAGTTTAGTGAAAAATAGTATAATGATCAAGGCTTGGTCCATTTTCTGATTAGATTGTTTGCAGAAACCTCAATTATATTTTAGAGATGTGACTGTCGGGAAAAGCAATTCTTTTGCCCAAATTAAAGAAATAACGTAGTTAATTACTAAATGAATAGCTTTAAGATACGATTGAATGTTCAAAACACTCCAAATGCGTATAGGCTTTGCATTAATATAGTTTTTTTTTAATGGTTAAATCATTGAATACTGGTACTGAAGGTGTATTAATAGTCAAAGGTAACAAATTTTATTTAATTGAAATAGCAACATCTCATCTGGAATTGTTATTCTCAGCTAGTAAAAAAAAGTAAATTCATCATGGACTGGCAAGAAACAATAAATCATTTCAGTTTTTACTATGGAACGTGGGTAGGTCTAGTCAGTTAAACGACACAAATAGAGAACTATTTAATGTTACCTATTAGTGTTACATATAGAATGTATTCTAATCCCAGAACGTAACTATCAGTGTAAAACTAGAGTTGTGTAAAATCCATCTCACCTATTCAAGAAGTACTGATAGTACTGTATCACGACATTAGCATTACAATACAATACAATGCAATACAATACTAGACTAGACTACATCGAGTCAGTAGCTATTGTAGGTAAGCGATATGCTATAACTTTATCCTCACTACGTATAACCATCTCAATTATTTAGCAAATACTACGAACACTATTGTATCTGCTCCACTAACATTAGTATGCCACGATGTAAATCCTTATGTTTGGCATGTAGTGGTAATATACATCGTCACAGAGATACCACATTGGCAACACTAGACCCTAGTATCTAGACGAGACAGACAGCGGAGCCAATAAACACTACTTGCAATATTGTATTACCAATAATCTGTCAACAGCTGGCAAATATCTTCGGCTAAGGTTACTTAGTAACATAGAGTAAACATACTCCCTTAGTAGAAGTCATCCTTTTTTGATCAGCTGATTAAAATGTAAATTACAAAGCATAAAACTATCCCTAAAAGAGAAACAAATGTTGACGACACTAGAGCTCAGTGTCACCAACATGAGCCAGACATAAAAAACAAGCTTCGGATTTTACAATGGGCTGAGAAGTGTGATTTTGATGAACTAAAAATGACACGAAGTTTTATGACCGTAATCCACTCTGAAAATGCCACAACAGTTAGAAAGGATTATAAGGGTGTTTTTAAGAGGGGCAGAGATACTGAAATTTCCATAACGGATTCCTCAGGTAGATGAGGTCAGTTAATACTTTAATACTTTAAATATCTAGGGCGCTATGAGATAAGAAATTGTGTTTTCTACAGTCACCCGACAAAGTGGGCTTCCTTGGACTTATTATAGAACAGAAAACTGCTAATTGCTGCATTTACTTACTCTTGCAGCGCACCTTTTACTTTGTCGCACAGTTTTTCTTGCCGCTCACCAGTATTCCAACCAAACAACACAAAACAGCGTGCTTTTATTATGCATGTAATCCGTGTACGTTTGAAAATAATTTGGCAACACTTAAAGATAATAGGACTACGATCAGCTGGTGGAGCGTTTCCCATCAGTTCAATGTTTGGATTTAACCTGACCTAAAAACGTGTTGTAGAGTGTTTGAAAGACTAATTATTATTATATGATTTATAGTAACTGTATGAAAAATATAATTTATACTGTATAAAGTGTCTCTTTGCCTCTAGTTACACAAATAACTATTTTAATTTTGAAATTAATTTATGACTGAGCACGGCTAGATGGATCCAGATTCCAAGGATTCCTTATATATCAAAATGACGATTTCAAACCAGCCATTGTTCTTTACCTGTTTTAGACCTCGCTACTTTAGAGGTTAGGTACCATTTTAGTCCATGCTAGTAGTCGACGAACTGTAATTAAATTGACATACAATTTATCTTGAACTTATGTATCGTTTTCTAGACAACATTTAAACAATTCAGTTACACCTAACCTAAACAAATAATTGTAGTTGACTACAATTTTGTGATATATAGCCCCCCTCCTAAAAATAATTATTTTAAAATAAAATATTCAGGGAGGAAAGATAAAACCAAAGGAAATGGATAAAATATCGCCACCTCATATAAGTCTCGTCATTGGTCAGAGATAATATTATTCAGGTACTCTAGACCAGTCAGACCGAAGAAGTTATTCTAGCCAGGTCTTTTTAATATTTTTTTTTATAATTTTAAATGAAATGACGACCACAAAGGAAAATAACTTCATAGTACAGATTGAATTAAGTAGAATAGTTGTCTTCAAAGAACTTGGATGTTGTGGGATATCGTTTTTATCATTATGCTTAGTGGCCCACGATCACTTATTGAATTAAATGGTTTATAAACTATTTAATCGTTTTTATGTCCTATATTTATACGTTTTGAATAAAACAGCCTCCTTGTCACATAGCATGCAATATTGTCCGCGGTCTTCTGTTCTTGCATGTTTGTGCTATGTGCATGCACATCATACTGAACAACCAGGATGACACAAAACATAAGTCGACATAATAGTAATTGAAATGCAAAATTACTGTTGAACGAATATATATTTCTGTTCGAAAAAGGTTATTATGTAACAACATCTTAACATCGACATGTATATTGTAAAATAGGATTATGAAATGGATTTGGAAGGACCCTTTTGTTACAAATCATTGAATACAAAGTTGATATACACAGAAATATAAAATAGACCCATAGATTTTTATTAGACTGAAGAAATAGTAAATTGTAATCCTTGAAAATTTTTTTTAGGACGTCCCTACGGTTATATTAAACGTAAAATGAGGCGATTCGAAAGAAATAAGGTAAGTTTAACTGAGTAACTAGCAATTTATGCAACGGGCTGTACGAAAATCCTTAACCAAATAACAAACGAACTGTGAAGAATTGCAGATAATTCGATTGTTGTCTGTGAAGTAGAATACCTAATATTCTTATTGCCGTTAATAGTAATACCTTTAATTCATTTTATTGACTGTTCATTAAAAATGGCTGTTTACACCTAAAATGGTTTAGGCCACAAACACTACAAATAGCCCTTTAAATTTCGAATAAAGTGGTAGAACTCCAATTTCTGTACGGTTAAAAGATTATTGTAACTTATTTCATTTTTCCATAAAAACCTCAAAAATTAGAAAAAAAATCGAATTAAAAAAAGCTTGTTTTGATTGAAATTAGTATGTGATGGCATATGAAACATACTCCCTTAGTCTATTGTGTTGCTTTGGTGATGGTCCTTATAATTCTTAACAAAATAGTGCAACGCCCCATTGCTGAAAACATTACGGTTCAAATGTTATTTTCCCATAAAAACCCATTAAAAAGCAAAAAAGGTGGTTTTTCGATAAAAACCCCCGGTTCTGATTGAAATTCTCCTGTTATGGTCCTAATAATTAAAACAAAATAGTGCAACCCCCTGTTCTTGTAAAAATTACGGTTCAAAAGTTAATGCAACTTGTGTTTTTATGATTTTGATGATTTTATGATTTTATTTTTATGATTTTATGATTTTTGTGATTTTGTGACCTTACCTATTAAATATCATAGTTACTCTCATCGCTTACCCATGAAAAAGGTTGTCGACAAGCTAATGGGAGAAAGTATATGTCAGATTGCTGATACCGTTTATTTTTCATTGCTAAGATATAAAATCTAAATACGTGTTTTATCTATGCTGTTTCTACTATTTTTATTTAATAAACGGACATGTAATACAAACATGTCTTAGTAAGTAAAGTAGAAAATAAACCAGTTACAAACGACTACTGTAGGTGATTGCGAACACTTAGTTGTGTAAAGATCAACATGAACATTACCAAGTGACAAAGCCCAGACCTCAAACCACTACCTAGATTGTTTGAACTTGCTGCTCAGAATAGATAAATATTTTATTTTAATGAATCATGTCATTATAAAAATATTATATTATTGAACAAAATACGTGCATGATTATGAGCGTATGAAATCACGCATAGGTTTTACGAGATTTCTTTTGAGTGGTTCTGGAGAGTCCAAAAAAGTGCTAAAAAAATGTTGTGCTCTGTAATATCCTTAGTAATTGTAAATGTACGAGATAACCAATTTTTTAAAGTTAAACCACTAATTAACATATTGATAGCGGTTGTTTATAGAAATAATATTGTAATAATACAAATAAAAATATACCCATAAATTGTTAATTCAGAAGGCCTTAGGTAAACATAAACGTTTTTCATTTTAATTTGTTCGTACACGATTTACAAACCCACAACATTTTATTCTTTTAGATGAACCACGTTAATTGAACCATGTTTATTGCCACTGTCAAACCAAATTTCTTTAAAACGACGTTTTACCAATTCTTTCTGGTTGTGGACACAAAAAAGCCTTTTGCCTTTAACAAATCGTAACCAAACCTTAAAATATTACTCTTTTACTTGTATTTAACCACATCCAAATATTTGTAAAGATTTTAATTCACAAAGGCGCCAGAGAGTTACATAATAGAACATGAGATATCCAAATATTCTAGTGAGTATAACTGATAGTCAAAGGTATAACTTATTTGAGTGGCAGCCTGAATAACGCTTATTAATAGGGTAGGGTAGGGTGAGTA